TTTAAAATTAAAGATTTGTAGCTTTCTAGGTTTAAAAAAAATACAATACATTTTTTTTCGGTCTAATAGAACATTTATTAACCATTTAAAACCTTTTTCCAAAAAGGGTCAACTAGCCTATTATAGTTATAATTTTTATTATTTTTAAAGCATGTAACTGCTTGATGTTTAAATCTAAAGAAAATATAACTAGAAAAAATTCCACGCGGACCAGGCAGCAGACGGGACTCGAACCCGCACCCTTCGCAATCCGGGCGAATGCACTGACCAATTATGCTACCGCGGCCCTCACGGACCGCGTCGAAATTCTTTCTAGCTATTCTTAAGCTGCAAGGGAGCGCCATCTCTTCGCATTATAGGTAGGTGTTTAGATTTAAACATCAAGCAGTTACATGCTTTAAAAATAATAAAAATTATAAGAAAAGAGATGTTTTGATATCGGGATCGCCTTTGTATAGTTCCGTACCTCAAAAGGAAAAAACGAACCCTTATAGGATCACTTTGTTTTCCATCCGTCCATCCGTCTGTCAAGACCGTTTTTCCTAGGAACGCGTGAAGGTATCAAACTGAAATTCAAATCTAATACTCAGGTCTACTGACCCTTGGAGCTGTGAAAAAATCAAACTTCTAAGCCAAAGCAATCAAAAGAGCTTGACTATACTCCTTGTGTATTTATAATTTTCATTTTCACTTTCCATCGGAATTTACCATGTTTATTTTTGTTTCATATGAAAATAACATTTTTTTCTGTTCTCGTACCATCCAATTAACATATTTTTAGCGAATAATAATCGCTTCTCTTCGCAACACCGAGGTGTTGCTTGGTAAGACGTGTGTCGTGTGACGTGAAAAGTACCTCTACCTTTCGACAAAAATTGTTCCAAACAATTTAGCTTCCATTAATCTTAATCTAAAGTTCACGGGAAGTACCCTAGTAGATGTAGTTTTAATATATACTAACTGTACATATTAAAACATTTTGACCTAAAATGTCGAAAATAAAATAGTAAATTTTAATAAGTCAGGAAGCTCATCTGCTAAATATATAATACTACTAATATTAACTACTACTAACCTAAACAAAATCAAATCCAGTAGTATAGAATTCTGTTAAGTAAGGAACAAGGCTATTTCAACAGTCAAGATACATTAGATATTCTAGAATAAATCAAATGTTCCCAATAATTGGTCCCGATTCTTAAAGATTTTCTGCTGATGCACGAAGATCCAGAGATTTTATTCCAACAAGGACGCTTCGCGATAGAGCTTTTGGAAAGTCTCGAATGCTGCGCGAACCATTCCAAGTCTATAACTACACCTACGCGCTACCTCGAATACTTGGGAGTAATCTGGGATACAGAGAGAAACTTGAAGTACTTGCCACCAGAAAAAATAAAAGCATTCCAAACACACATCACGAAACTCCTCAAAGTGGGTCACTGGAACTGGTGGGATGCAAAAAGCATACCAGGGAAGCTAAATTTTGCTGTGGAAGTAGCCCTTAGGTCGCCTACACTGCAGAAATATCCAGAGATCGTCAACACACCTACCAAAGTCAAACCGTCGCAAAGTAGTGACCATCGACCAAGCCGCCAGGGAAGACCTCACATGGTGGACCCAAAATATACACAAATCCTCTCCTATTCACGGGAAACCACCATCAGCCTTCATAACGACAGATGCAGCAGACACAGGGTGGGGAGCTTTAATGAAAAGCAAGAAATTGCAAGGAAGATAGAACGACAAACAAAAAGCCTGGCACTCCAACTAGAAGGAACTCTGGGCACTTTACGAAGTTCTCAAAAGAGAGAAAACGTTCCTGAGAGGTAAATCGATTATCTTCCAATCCGACAACCGAACAACCATAGCCAACAAACAACAAACAGGGAGGGACGACATCAACTATCCTACTGAAGACAGCTACGAAGATACTAAACCTAGCTGCGCAACTGAATATCACTATAACAGCCAGATTCCAGAGAAATTAAATGGCATTGCAGACGGCTTATCAAGGCAAAATGCTCTACCAAAATGGCACTTAAGCGAAGCAATTGTTGGCCAAATCTTTCAGAAGTGGAACTCCATAAGTAGACAGACCTGTTTACTTCAAAACGCTCGGCAGTCGTATCCAATTATGTATATGATGATATGTATAAAGATGTCTCGGACCGGAACAACCTATACACGGACGCTTTCAGTCAAACATGGAACTTCAAACTGGGGTAGGTCTTCCCACCGCCAGCACTAATACCAAGAGTTCTTCGCCATCTCAACAAGTGCACGGGGACTTACTTGCTTGTAACCTCGATGCATTCTGGATGCCGATGTTGGAAAACAGATCTACAAGCAAACCCCTCCGGCTGAAAAATCTGCGAACTCACCTTATAGACTTACGGACCCAAAAACCTCCACGGGGGATAGGCACAATAGTTTTGCAGGTATGGCACATATAGGCTGGTCCAATTTCGTTAACCCCTGGTCTACCAAACTCAAACACGTAGTAGAAAACTCTTAGCGACAATATAGCATCAAAACATACCAACCAGCTTGGGAAAAGTGGGTCGCATAGGCTTTAAAAGAAGGTGTCTCTATGAAAGAACCAAAAGCAACAGACTTAGCACGTTATCTCGGATTCCTGCACACTAAGATGAAGCTAGCGCCGAACACCATAGCAGTAGTATGCACTTTTACGTATACAGATGCTACCGCATCGATCGGCTCGCATCCTCTAGTCAAACACATGCTGAAAGGCATCAGTTTATAAGGGCGGAAACATCCTAGTAGACTTACCTGGAGCGTAAACGTACTTACTGAGTGGTTAAAGTGCTACAACTTAAATGAGGATAGCATCTTTCAAGTCTGCAGACATCTAGCTAGACTGTTTCTTCTAGCCACAGGGCAAAGAATCCACGATCTAACTTTATTAGACATATGCGATGACTTCTTTGAAATAACAGATAAAAGTATTAAATTATGGCCTTAATTTGGCTCAAAAACAGATTCCTGTACATACATACAATCAGGTTGGGAAATAACAATGAACCCAGTCAAAAACTTAGACCTCGTTACCTGGACTAGACGCCTACAGTAAATATCAGACCCAAGACGAAGATGTTTCTTCGTCTTGGGTCTGATATTTACTGTAGGCGTCTAGTCCAGGTAACGAGGTCTAAGTTACCTTTGTTAAGGTATTACCAAAATTTGTTTATAATAACCCGCGTTAAAGTCGTCCCAGCTTCAAGATCAGTGATAGCGGGATGGATATGCACACTGTTCAAAGAAGTCAACATAAATGCCTCTCCAGGAAGCTGCAGATCAGCCGTTGCTACGGGTAATTGGTTACGCGGGTATACAAACATAGAAGAACTTATGAAAAAGAGTAATTCGCAAACTGCAAAAACATTTTTTAATCATTTTCTCAAACCAATCAACCCTAAAGTCCTAAATACAATCAGTAATAATCTTTCAGATAATTATGTGCCAATCGACTGATTTATTATACTTGTGATAAGTTATCAAAGTTCCTTTAATCAAGAATAAGAATTATTTATTTTTGTAAGTATGATGATTATATTACTCTGTTTAAGAACAAATACACTTTATCCATACATTCTCTTTTTATTATATTATAAATAAACTTTAACAGTTAATTACAGTACGCTCATTCAGCGCCGGCAGATAAGAACCACGTCTCCAGGTGGATCAAGCCTTTAGGCTCGAACACCTAAATAGCAGCGTTTTCCCCCCGAAGGGTAGAAAACAATTATTTAGGTTTCAGCCGTTCGGCTTGATCCACCATAATTTTCAGTGCCTTGCCGCCTTGCAAATTGTACTGACCAATACACCGCCCGCGCTGAATGAGTCCCCTCCATTGGAGTGAAGAAGTAACACTTCACACTTGGGACAGAGGGCGCTACTATCGAAAAGAGCTAATTTCACGGTGTTATGACGTCAGAATGTACATGCGTAGTCTCAAGGTGGATCAAGCCGAGCGGTTGAAACCTAAATAAGCGTTTTCCTTTTCCTTCGGGGGAAAACGCTGCTATTATGGTTTTTGGAAGTGTTTTTAAAGTATTGACATATTTATGATTCTTCCTATCAAAATTGTTATTGTGTTCTCATAGTCTTTATCAGTCATCTGCTTATATTATAATATAATAATATATTATGTGAAATGCTTTTAAATTAGTGTAAATAAATACAGTGATAATAAACAAACTGATAGTCAAACAACAAGATCCTCTAAAATTGTTAATATCTCTACAATAAATAATAGAAATGTATTAAACTACTTCTAAAATAATAAAGTTTAAATCATTATATCTTCCTAGTCTTTGGTTAATAATGTAAGAGGTAGTCTTGTTTATTTACCAGTAAACCCTTGAAAACAATATTTAAATATATAGGTACAAGAGTTTGAACAACTAATTTTTTTTTGTATGTTACGTGAAACTTACATGGTTTTTATATATTATTTAAAGAATCCATCCAAAGTATACTTATTTTGTCTATATGTTATTTATTACAAGCCATTCGAATTAACAAAACGTAGTTGTTGAAGGTACTCCAGTTATTATAAGTTCCATTCATTCATTCTTTGTGTCGCATCACTACTTCTGGCAACCTAATTTTTATGTCATTCATTCGTCTCAGCGGCTTTGAAATTAAATTAAACATTATTCGTAAATTCTGACTTTTCATTCAATAAAAATACTTACAAATGATAGGTTACACCATGTTCCGGTATATTTAATGTGGCAGAACGGTTTTTGCATAATAAAACAACACAATTTACCGTTTTTGTAGGAGCTCTGACTCGAACACGAAATATTAAAAATGGTCGCAGACCGCGCGTGCACTAGTTTTATATAACGTACATGGTCTGGATGTGGCCACGTACCTTGCCAGAGGGTTTCGACCCCCTATGGCATCTCCATTGGTATATGCTCCAAGGTTTTTAGCCTTAAATTTAACATAATCTCCTTTATCTATAGTCATGCCAGGTGCTATTGATTTTGATTGGACGGATTAGGGTCGATTTGCCATCATAAAAGAAGAAGAAGAAGGGTCGATTTGTCACACTATTCTATTTTAGAAACGTGAATTCTATGTGTCAATGTCTATCACAGACAGTTGTCAATGTCATATGTTTTTTTGTATGTTTGGCAAATCAATGTTGCCAAACCACAAATCTCAAAACAAAAACTGTTTGTTTAACCATTTGTGATTTTTTGTGATGAAAAGTGGAATTTTTTATCTAGGTACTATAAATCTCCTTCAAAATGTTTCTTACCAATGTATTAATGAAAAAAGCAAAAAGCAAGTAAGTGCATTTAATTTAGTTTAAGTCATTGATACTTGATCCCATTCGTATTATACCGAACTTTATTGTTATATAACCTCAAATGAATAGCAATCTACATAATGTTTTATTTTTAATTGCAGACACGTGATGGTTCTGATGGAGAGTGTTGTTAGTGGTCACAAGTTCAATGCTATTAGGGAGAGGCTTGCAGATAAATTAGAAATTTTAAAATTTGATCCATACAGTGAGTACCTTGTTTTTTAAACAACTAATACTTTCCTACACGACTTGGCAAGGTTACGTACTATTTAAGGATATGTTTTCAGAAATATGCAATTGTGACGTCCTTTCGAACAGTTTGTACAATTTAAAGTTTTTTAACTCTTTTTTTTTTTGGTATATATAGTAAAAAACGGTCATTCACTCGCTGTTGCTGTTATCATAGTAGGTATACTTCAATTAATCTGTCTATGATCATTTCAAAGTGTCGATTTATCATTATCATGGGTGTCCCAAAACCCAAAATGTAACATCTTAATCTGAGTATAAAATAATTTGTTACCTTAATACATTGCGTCCCAAGGAGAAAACACCATTACCCTGTTGAGACGTGTAGTAAGGTGCACCACTCAACCTATAGTATTTATTCATAAAGAACCTATCTCCCTTGCAGCCCATAAAACCAGCCTATTACACCACTAAACACCCACACCACTTATGACTGCTTTTTATTGTGATTTTTTGTAGTCTTTCTCTGTGGTAATTCTAGCTTGACAAGTACCCATGAAACCATATTAAGTTTGGTCACATAAAAAAGTATTACAGGATGTGTCATCTTTAAATCATAGAATGTTCGGGAGTAGTGTTTCAGAGATAATTAGGAAAAACTGCCTGATTCTAATTATCATGTATGTAATTACCAAGGTTTACCGTGTTTTATATTCTCTGCGGTGATGTCTGTTCCAATACAGTTATGACTGTAATACTCGATTCAGGGGGTGCGAAGAATCCCGAAGAGCGAAGAAGAGGGTAAGCGCCGGCTACCATCAAAAACAACTGTACCTGGCAACTGTTACAGAAGGTTCATAAATCATTTATGGGTCAAGATATACATTTCTATAATAAAATTCCTATTGATATCCTTGATTTGCCTCCTCATAAATTTAAAATACACATTAAGAATTGTTTACTTAAGAAAGGATATTATACTGTCAATCAATATTTGAATGATAAAACGGCCTGGTTGTAATTTTACCTGTAGATAATTTTTCAAAAGTTATATTAAAACTAAGGCTCCCAGCCAGAAGAGAACTTTGCACTTACTCCCTTTCATATACTTGTTCATTTTGTTTTGAAAATTGTTTCTTGCTAGTTTGGGACTTATCTTTGCACTTATTGTTAGTAAATTCGTTGATTGTCTATTGTTACATTTTTGACATTATGTGATGGAAGTTGACTTCAACACATGTTTGCAAGTTTGATGTCAACTTTCAATTGGACGACACTGTATGAAATAAAACAGGGAGAAAAAAGCAGCCCTTGCTGAGTTTCTTGCCGGTTCTTCTCAGTACAAGGTCTCCCGCCGTAGATTTGCGAACCGATGGCGTAGCTTTTCGACATTCACAAGTGCTTGTAACAGCCTAGACTGAATAAACGATATTGAATTTTGAATTTTTTTGAACCTACAACACGCGCACACTAAGGAGTGATGTGAAGTTAACAGAGTTGGAAGAATCCGCTAGTAAGTTATCTGGGATGTTATTGGTCTATCTGAAGTCCGAAGAGAGGAAGAGGACTCGGTAATCCTCAATTCTGGTAACTTGCTATATTACCGGGAGAGTGACCAGAACTCCCAAGGCGGTGTCGGGTTTATCGTCCATAAGTCCATCGTCAACAATGTGATAACCATCTGAAGTGTGTTGACCAGGGTAGCATACTTGATACTCAGAGTATCGAAAAGATATTTGTTGAATGTCATTCAGGTTTATGCTCCAACCTCAACACATCCAGATGACGAAGTGGAGGTTATATATGAGGAGATCTCTAAAGCCATACATAGTCATAAAACCCACTACAGAGTTGTGATGTGGGACTTCAACGCTTGGTTGAGGAAGCGTTGTGGTGATGAGTTGAGTGTGGCAATTTGGAGTTGGGCAAAGGAACGCCAGAGGTTGGATGTTGGTTGACCTCATGAAGAAAAAGAACCTTTTTATGATGAGCTCCTTCTTTAGGAAGACCCAAAATTGGAAATGGACCTGGATGAGTTCTGGCGGTAAAGTTAAAAATATGATTGACATTATCATGTTGACGAAAAGCCACATATTCAATGATGTTTCTGTAGTCAATACCGTTAAAAGCGATCACCATTTGGTAAGAGGCACACTGAATATCAACAATAAGCTGGAAAGATCTCTAATAATAAGGTCTACTTTCCGACCAATACCCGCACAATTTAAAAATCCCGAGAGCTTTCAACTTGAACTCCAAAACCGCTTTGAAGCCCTTGAAAACAGCCTAGATGTGGACGATTTAAACAATATAACTACTAGATTTAAGAAACTCTCCGACGAGACACTCCAACTTATGGAACAGCGAAATGAAATGAGGTCACAGAACAGCCCATGCAAGTCAGCAGCGTTTGTTAAATTCCAAGTCTTTAAGGAGCGACCTTCGCCAATTTAATAGTAATCGTGTTAAAGAAGCTATAGAGCGGAATAAGGGCTCCAAAGTATTTGCAAGAGATCTGTCTATTGGGCAAAGTCAACTGACGAAGCTGAAAACTGACGACGGTAGCATCATTTTTCGAATAAGTCTGCAAGGTTAAACATCCCAGAGCTAAGCTTACCTGACGCTATACCGAAGATATCCCGGACGTCAGCCTGTATGAGATTAGAATGGCTCTCAAACAACTTAAAAACAATAAGGTGGCGGGGGATGATGGAATCACGACAGAGCTTCTGAGAGCGGGCGGTAACTTTATACTTAAAAGTCCTCCAGAAGCTTTTCAATTGCGTCATCCTCGAAGGCCAAACGCCGAAAGCGTGGGGCAGAAATAAGGTTGTTCTATTCTTCAAAAAAGGTGATAGCACACTCTTGAAGAACTGTCAACCAATCTCACGTCTGAGCCATGTCTATAAGTTGTTTTCGAGAGTTATAACTCCCGAACAAGCCGGTTTCCGAAAAGGCTTCAGTACCGTAGACCACATTCATACGCTGCGGCAGATTATACAGAAAACCGAGGATTATAACCTGCCATTTTGCTTGGCGTTTGTGGACTACGAGAAAGCTTTTGATACGATTGAGACCTGGGCAGTGCTGGAGTCTCTCCAAAGGTGCCAAGTCGACTACAGGTATGTCGAGGTGTTATGATACCTTACCTACGAAAATGCCACTATGTCAGTCCGATTACAGAATCAGAGGGGATGTTATATCTTCGAAACAGTATTGTTGCGTTGCAGGATATTTTCAAGCTTCTGGATTGGAAAGGACGTGGCCTCAACATCAATGGCGAGTACCTAACACACCTTCGCTTTGCCAATGATGTAGTACTTATGGCTGAGACCTTGGAAGACCTGAGCATAATGCTCGAAGATCTCAGCAGTTTCCCAAAGAGTGGGCCTAAAGATGAACATGGACAAGACGAAAATTATGTTGAATGTCTATGTTGTACCCACTCCAGTAAAAATTTGGAATACCTCCACTCGCAGTTGTCGACCATTATGTTTAGCTGGGACAGATGATCCAGTTATGTAAGTTAAGAAAGAAGTTTCTCGTCGTATTGAGCTCGGATGGGCAGCTTTCGGGAAGTTATGTAAAAATTTTGCGTCCAAATTACCTCAGTATCTCTAGGCAAAAGTCTTTGATCCATGTGTGTTGCCAGTGATGACTTACGGAAGCGAAACGTGCTCGCTTACTATGGGTCTCCTAAGAAGGCTCAAGGTTGCACAGCGTGCAATTGAGAGAGCGATGCTTGGTATTTCCCTGCGTGATGGAATCAGAAATGAGGAAATCCACAGGAGAACTAAGGTAACCGACATCGCTCGAAGGATTGCTCAGCTGAAGTGGCAGTGGGCGGGACACATAGCAACAAAAACCGATGGCCGTTGGGGCGGAAAAGTTCTCGAATGGCGACCACACACCGGACGACGTGCGGTTTAAAGGCCACCACCAGGTGGACCGACGATCTTGTGATGAGCGCGCAAATCCATCAAAATTCATAATAAATAACTGAAAGGGTTGGCTAAAAGGCTATGTATCAAGGCGATTGAATCTTACAGCCAAATCCGCAGTTACAATGTGACGAAAACAGTCACGTAATTTATGATACAGCCAATTACAATCAAGGAAATTAATTTATACCAATAGTATTAGCTGTCATCTGTCAGTCAATGATACATTACATCTATGTAATAATGTTTCTTTATGCGCCGAATCCCTTTTTCAAAATTCTTTTAATTCAGATTTTCACCAATTTCTAATTTATTGTGATCTTGATGAGTGAGTCTTTTTAAGTATAATTTTAGATGTTTGTTGAGATTATTTGTAGGTACCAAGGTACAAAATTGGGCAAAAATCGAAGGTCTCATTTATATATTATATCGAGGAATCACCACTGAAGTTTACTTACTTTGTGATAGGTTTTTAAAATTTAAATATTTCTGTTACAGTCCAACAGCAGAGCCTGTACAAAGAGAGGAAGAAGATCAGAAGTTTCAAATCCAGCTAGTGAGTTTTAGATTCCAAACGAACAAATTACAAATGAAACACATAGATTTACTTAAAATGTTATAATTTAATTATTGTACTTTAATCAATAAACAAATTTTTGAATACACGTTTTTCACTATAGGTAAACTAGCAAACCATGAAATTTGGTTATTAAGTACTGTTCATTAAATTTTCACACCAAATTCCATTGATTTATTAGAGCAATGCGTCTATATGTATGTCCATACAATGAGTTTAGAATATATGCTTTACTTCTTTCAATATTCTTATACTAAGCATGGCATCACTTTGTCGACAATTGTATATATCAAATTAAAAACAACATTTCGTAGGAATTAGTTTAAAGTTTGTGTTTATTGATCAATGTGGCTACATTAAAATAAAAGGATAAGTAAAAAAAATTGAAGTAATAGCCGATAATTGGAATATTCATCTACACTCTGCATGATGATCTTTCACTTAATAATCGGAACTTAGCTAAGAAAAGTTGTATCTTTCGTATTACAACGTGAAAAAATCCTTTAAAAACAATAAGTGCAATTTAAGTGCCTCTATTTGTCTATCTTAGATGATGAAAAATTGGCGACAAAGAAATTCCATAATAAATAGTAAATATATCTGTACGCAATTAAATATTTCAAAACATGCGGTGCTATTAAATTTTCTTTTATAATGTGCCATATAAAGACAATGAGTGAATAGTGCTCATACAAATTAAAGACAAATAAGTATGTATCTAATGAACAAAACTACAACACAAAATAGGACCAAGTCCCCCACCATTTTTGCGTATTTCTAGAAATTTTACAAATAGATAGGTACCTCAAACTCTCAATGCAATAAGGTAGGCCAAATATTGATTTACTTAATTTTTTATCACAATTCCAAAATCTAACTAATCTAATATAATAATAGGTAATAATAGTTTCGTCAATATTTTGGAACAAAATCTTATTTTGGTTAAACACCCATCTACGAATAATTTTATTATCCAAAGTCAATAAAGTGCATACACGTCAATTACAATTTTATTAAATTTGAAATATAATCCATTTATTCATACACATATAAGAAACACTTATATTTATTCTCACTATCATTTTTAAAATCTAAGAATCTATATTATGTAGTATAAAGTAAGTGATTATATATTTCTAAATTAAATAATAAATTTTGACAAAAAAAAATATTACAATAATATTCAAATATTAAACTTATATTTTCTTCTATTTTTTTTAGTATTCAGACTGAAATATTACTATGTATTTTTTTAATACTGTATTACATTATATTATACACCTACAAGATTCATTTCATTACATCTCACAGTCAGATAAGGTCATAAATAAATTCTATAATGAAATTGACTAGAATATTCTAATTTTCAACTTCAAAAGTAATCAAATGGTATCTCAATTTATTATAAAATCACTATAAATATAATAGATTTAATAAAAATAATCTGTATATTGACTTCAAGAGCCTTGTTGTACTTATTACTTATAATTAATTGAAATCAAGTTACAATGTTTAATTTATTTAATCTACATTTAATTTATTACATTTATTTCAGTTAATAAGGTTTCTTTGGTATCATATTTGAATTTTTCCGCTGAATTCACAAATTAATGTATATTTTTATAGATATTTCTTATTAAAAGTGCTTAAAAGTAGTACTTACGTACTTACATTGTTCATTAAATAAGTGGTAATAATTAATTATGTAAAGGGCTTTAGCTATAATTGCTTACACAGCAATATGTTTGCTGTTAAGAACATAATTTAATCTTAATATTATGTTTGCATTGTTAATTAACATTGTTCTTGTTCATTTCTATGAACTATGTTTGGTGTGATTTTATATAGATATAAAAAAAATCTTCACACCACTTAATTTTAGGGAAGTAGTGTTTTATTGTAATAATTTGCATGCAACTTCTTATGCATGAGTGTAGTTTATAAATAAGTAATAATATTAATAATTACTCTTAAAACTTTAAATTGAAACGCTCAAGATAAGTGTTTATTATCATAGAAAACTTACTGCTGAAGTAGGTACTTTGTCTACATGCGCTGCGCTTCTGTGCTATGCAACAATACGTAACGTAGGTAGCCTTACTAAATATTAATGAAAATATTTTCTCTAGACAATTTATAAATTTCTATTTTATAAGTGAATTTATTCATATAAATTCTAAACTGGTAGTAAGTATATATTATTACAATATTTAGGGCTTTTGAAATACCTAGTCGTTTATGATCGTAAATTCTGAGAAGACGTATTGGCAAATCCCTTTATGGTCACACATAATTTTATAACGAATTAAGAAAGATTGGTCCACTAACGACGAAACGACCTGAATGAATTCGACAGCATAACATTTTAATGGAATGATCCCGAACTAGAAGTTTGCAAAGAAATGTAGTAACTTAATATAAAATAATTATATTTTTAATATATTATAATTAGGTATTTTAACCAAGATAACTAAAACTACTAAGATTTAAACCGTGGTGTACTCAAATCACAAGTACATACTCACTATACTATAGTTAGAATCGAATAAATTAATTAAATAGGTAAATACCTAATAATTGATGAAAATAAATACAATATGTATCTGTACTTGTCAATATTCTACTCTGTACCTACTCCTTTTAGGTACTTTAAGGCTTTAAATAAACTCGTTAAATCTTAATAGGTACCTACATATTTTATGACACTCAATGAGACTCAAAAAAAGTTTGTAATAGACTTAAATTATGGTCAATATCCACCTCAAATAATAAGATGAATATTGTCACAAATGTTTATAAATTCAAAGGTTCTCTCTCTGTTAACTTCGATGCTCTTAAGCCCTCGCCAAGTAGATTGCAATTATAAGTTATAATAAATTACTCAATTTTCAATCCTTACTTAAACCTTGATTTGTGTCATGATATTTTATATATTTTACAACTAAAGACCGGAGCACAGCCCCAACTGCACCGCTAGCTTTATTCGGGTAAAACCACGAACCTTAGCCGTAAATATATGCATATTTGTGGGAACAAAATAAATAATAAATACAGATCCAGTTTACATTCTGGAAGTGTTTCTTTTCGTACCCGTACAAAGAACATGACATACCTATATTTTTTACAGTATAAATACTTAAGTTATGGTTACTTTTAAGTTTTATTAATCATTACAATGATAAATCTAGGTATAATTTATTTTTTTCAAAGGCCGAAAAATCACTTTCTTTTTCATTATTTTTTTGTCGATATAATTTTCTCGTTCCAATTTTCGTTATAAATAATTTTAAACTATTTTTATACCTAATACATCTTATAGATTGTAGACTTCTGTTCTATTATATATAGGTAAGAGATATGGTTAGTCCTAAAATTCAATATAAATGGTCACTTTGTATAGGTAATATACATATACATAATCAGCTGATTTATTCTCGTGAAAGAACCTACTATGTGGAAAATCTTTATTTTTTTTATTTATAAATCAAATCAATATAATGCACACCTTTATGTGAGATTCGTAATTATTAAGGCAATATTAATTGGAATTTCGAAATGACATAAGTAATATTTTTTATAATAGGTACAGAAAAAGTTAATTTAGCAGTGTATGTATAATTTAAGACGATATTCAAGCCAATATATTTCAAATAAATGATACTATATCTACAATATAATAGGTAGATTCTTACCACTGTCTGAAAATGATTCTTGCACTTAAACGATTATCTAAATGTATTTTATCTTTAGAATGCAGTATACTGCTTAGAGGTACCGGATTTCAGAAATTAAAATACTTACGTTATTCTTTGAACAATAAAGAAAATCCATTACATTTATCAATTTAAATGTCGATATTATCTTCCAATAGAAAGTATTTATTATAATAAATTAGTATGTATGTATACCTAAAATGTTTCTCTTATTTTTAGCATATTTTTTTGTTACTATTGAACTATACGCAGAAAGCGATGTAAAAACGAGTCATTTTTTATATCCATTTACAATCGCATATTCTGTCTACGAGCTGCTTATTTACATTAGTATTTTTATATGTACTTATATAGAAAATTATTCAGAGAGATCACTTTTTAAACACTCACTTTCTAAGTCATTTGCTCCAATAGGGGAGCTATGTCGGGATATTTTCATGCGAAGAACTCCGTTTTACTTGCCATCTCGAATTCTGTCTCTTCCATCTTGTACATTTCAATGAGCTAAAAAGAGGTTTATTATTATCATCTATTTTTGACTTTAGTTTTATCACATACAATATAAATATACACTTAAGTTATAATTATAATGCGCATTTCTTTAGTATTATCTATCACAGTCATATCATTCATTTTTTCATATCATTATGGTGTATTATACATGTAGTAGGATGATTTGATAAACCGAATTTTTACGAAAATTGGTAACATAGTACATAATGTAAGCAATTAATAAATGCAGCCGCTTTGACCCAAAAGTTCTTGTTATAACTAATCGGCAATATATAATAAGTGAATCATCCATCTATCCAAGTAGATGAATATTTAAAATAGTAGACCTATTTAATATAATTCATCAGATGTTGGACTTTTTAAATTTAAAATACTTAGTTCAATGCTCAAGTGTTATTGAGGTGAGGGTGCGATTAAAATTATTTTTGCATCATTTGCACGCGTTTATAATTATTCATTGAAATTATCAACAATCCACTTACATTATCAATATCCTTGGATAATTCCTCCATTTGTTTGTCATGGGTGACTTTCAACTTTTCCTTTTCACGATTTTGCTTGATAGTTTGTGTCTGAAATATGATAAAATATGCATTATTTAAATGTTAACAATAAGCTTCTACTGTCATTTTAGCATTTAATTCGAATATTTTGATATCTTAAGGGCCATTTGCATCAACTTTCCTAATCTAAGTTAAGGCTTAATTAATCCTTAAATAAAACTAGTTTTTACAGGTTAATGCACGAAACTTTATTTATTTATTGACGTTTCGCAGCCTTTTCAGGTCTGCATCGTCAGAAACTAGTTTTATTTAATGAGTGATGTGCGTGAAAACCTAAGAAACAAATATCTTAATTAATCCTATTTAACACATCATTCCGTCACTGGTAAGTCAAATAGACATAGAATAAAGCATAATTTTTGCCTTTAATAACTTTAGTGCAAATGGCCCTCTAAGTATTTTTAAAAGAACTTTGTTTTAATTCCTGCCAAATTACTCACCTTGCGTTCATCCATGAATTTCTTGGTGTTGTTCTGCTTTTTCTCCCTCAGACGGCGGTCTTTCTCCTGCTTGGTCTTCAGGGTTTTGTCGTTGGCCACTTCCTTGCTCGTCTCCATGCTGATTTTGGCTTGGCGGGCGTTCATTTCTTTTAACTCTCTGAAAACGCAGGGGATATTTGATTTGTTATTAAATACTAGCTTCCACCCGTATTTAAATACTAATGTAACAAAAATCTTTTTTTTTAATTGTCTCGATCCAGGTGAACTATTCATAATAATATGCAGTATAACATCAAAAGTGTGTCTGTCTGTCTGTTACCTCTTCATGCACAACCCAATGTACCGATTTAAATGCAATTTGGTATAGAAAAGTCTTAGGATAGTTACTATGCCAAAAATCATCCCTGGAGAGTGTGAGAAGATGGTTAAAAAATTGTATGGGAAACCAATTTTACAAACTGGCAAATTTGGCAAACGATATATGTGTCATCTATACTTATAATAAATCTGTAGAGAGGTCAATTCTGTACATGAAATATATTTTCAAAATAACTATAAGGGGGTGATTAATGATCGATACTGATGCCAAAAATGCAATCAGTAAATTTTTTGTCTGTCTGTCTGTCTGTGTGTATGTTCCTTATAGAAACAAAAACTACTCGACGGATTTTAACGAAACTTGGTACAATTATTCTTCATACTTCTGGGCAGGTTATAGTATACTTTTCATTACGCTACAATCAATAGAAGCAGAGTAGTGAAGGGAAATGTTGGGAAAGCGGGAGAAGTTACTCCATTTTTTAAGCTTCCGTCGCGTGTGCAGGCTGCACACTAATGGTTAACTAATGGTTAAAATTACATAGAAATCATGTATGACGGAAATATTCTACATAAAATTGTCTAAAAATATCCCGCAATAGCATATGTCTATCTTTTATGGTTGACTCACAATAACACGTGTAACTCCTCATAGCTTAGCAGTTCGGAGCATTCTGATTATATTTGTTTACTCTTACGTTTATAATACTCTCACTCATCCCTAATTTTAAAAAGTTAACATTATTACCTATTCAATAAAAAAATAATCATAGAAATCGGTATAGAAACACCAAACTTATACATGAAATAAGCCATAGCGTCGTCGCACGTGAATACTAAATCATGCTATAAGGATTATTTTTGTGTAACGGTTGAAGCGCTCGACACGGGCCGCGGCGGCGGTAGGTATAAGAAGAATGTCATTGTGTATAATACAAGCCTGAGAACAATAACTATAGTCTACGCTTCAGCTGCTCTACACCGAAGCGAAGCGAGGGCGGCCCACTAGTTTTTCATAGAAAGCCGTACTGCCGTTTTTGCGTGATTGAGTAGCAAACATCCAAACTTTCACATTTATAAAATTTGCAGAAAGTAGGATTAAACCAGAGTCATACTGAGTGTGAATGATGGTACGGTTCCTTATTCACCCATGTTATTTTACTAGTAGCAGTTTGCAATAGTCTGCAAAGCCATATTTTCGTTACATGCTGTAGGTCGCGCTAGCCTTCTACTCACTGCACATTGGAAACTGACATGAATAAAGTACCTTTCGTGTTTGGACTCGAGCCTCTCCATTTGCTAGAGCTGAGTTTGAATCACAAGCACGAACAATTAGCGAGAAAGTATTCGTATCGCCATTTTAAAAGTTTCTATGGAAACTAAGCAGCTTTGACTATGGCAATACGAATACTTTCTCGCTAGTTGTTCGTGCTTGGGGTATTGTTAAATCATCATCTTGGACAGGTCACGTTGCTCGTACTCGCTAAACTTACCCTGTTCTCGCTGCTAATGTAAATGTAACATAGATACTGGGTATTTCTTAGCTTAACCTTCTTCAGCAAAATGAATACTAATACTCAAAATCATAAATGTACTTGCCTACTCATTTTTTATTGTTATCTATATTATGCATTTGTAATTGTATGTATATACTGAGTCAGTATTTTACGTTAGCTTAGCAAAATCGACACCCTGGTTGTTGCTCGTAGAGCCGCGATTAATGTAAATGTAAACACATATGGTACCTCTCATGCTTGGCTTTTATCAGCACCTGAGATCATCTTAAGTTTCTACTTCCTGCACATTTGTTTGTAATATGGATAGACTCATAGTACTCACCTTTCCAGTTATGCCCAGAGCTGCTTCATCTGCGCTAGTTGAGTCTGCTACATTATTTTTCTGAGTAGGTGGTTGCTCTTAGAGCCTCGATTAATGTAAATGTAATACACATACGATACCTCTTATGCATGGCCTTTTTCAGCACCAGAGATCACCTAAGGCTTCTACTTCCTGCATATTTGTTTTTATCTTTCATATCATCTTGTTCACGAAGTCGCAATGTTCATTAAGCCGCGATCTTCCGCTGGCCCGTTCTTAATACAATACCTCTCATGCTTAACCTTCACTAGTGCCGGAGATCTTTAGAAAAAAGGGTTACGCTCTTTCTACTGCACAATTGAATATGATATTGATACGATACCTCTCGTGTTTGCCTTCTAACTGCTTCATCTGCGCGAGTTGAGTTTGCTCCATCATCTTCTTCAGAAGGTCACGTTGTTCATTAAGCCGTGATCTCGCGCTGGCCCATTCTTCTACGCGATGTTTAGCCACTAGTTCACTCCACGCAGTAGACTGCTCGCTTACAACCTTGCGGAATGCCGCATCCCCGCTTAATTGTTCCTTACTGCACAAACAAGGACAGAAAAAAATACCATATAAAATAGAGAATGGTCTAAACTATGCTCGCATGAGGAGCTCGATGGCGAAGGCGGTTAACGCGTTGAGTCTACGATCGTGGAAGTTAAACAATCTCCGCAATGCCCGAGCATTAGATTGGTTACTAAAAAACATTTATTTCATCAATTATCAGTCATTAAACCACCGAAACATGCATTACTTGCTTATCACATTATTCCTGAATCATCTTTAATATTTCATCGCACATTTATTTTGATTTTAATTTTTTCAATGTCATGTTAATATTTTTATACGGATAACTTAGATGAACTCACTTTTTCCCCTTAATCATTTTCTCCAAAGCTGTGCACTGTTGTTTTTGCAGTGTCATCTTTTCCTTGGCATGGCGTTTCCTCATTGCGTCCAAGTCCTTTTGCTGCTTGCGGCCAGTTTTCACGAAGCCTTTTTCCTGACGTAGAGACTCGACCGTGATTGGCTCGAATACCAAAGGCGGTTCTGAAATAATGCATAACCGTTCAATCAAGGAATTTATCATTTCTAATTCTAACACGTTTCTTGTAACTATTCCTTTGCTTTTAATACACATAATTATCATTTTATTCCACAGCTACAATCTATCACATCTAAAAGTACACGTTTCATTGTATTTTTATTTAAGCATTAAACTGCTGGGTTTTTATATCTAAAGAAAATTTTTAACGATGCCTGTGCGCGGAGTTCAAATTATTTTTGTAGCAAAAATTTCCTTCGACACTTTGTACACTTCTTATTGAGGCCAGTCTAGCGTTTGTATCACCAATATTTACCTCCTTTTATAATTTTTTGTCGTCGTATCATAATTTTTCAAAAAATAAACCTTTCTCTGTCACAACATAGTAGACGGTAGCGTTCGAACAAAAGTTATGATACATTAATCCTGCGCAAGATTAAAAAAAGTTATTACCTAGTATAATATTTGTTAATGGTAAACAGTCCATTCTTCAAGAGTCTTCAGAACTTCCACGTGTAGGTAGGTAATCAAAATTTAATTATAAATATGCAGTTTCGAAATTACACGTTGCTTATGCATTGAATTTAATTTACGTAAAACAACAATACTGCGAGTCGAATTATCATCGTAAAATCTAATGCTGCGTTGCGAATGATTTTAAACAGTCTAATTCTCCAGTTTGGAACAAGTATATTTATACACACTTATTTTACCGTACGCTTTACGTCAGACCGATGTGCTTGTAGTTATTTTTAAATTATTAAGAGACGTCTGAATGAATTGAGTAGGTGCATCCTGAGTGCGTTTTGATTTGCTAGGTCTATTTATATCTTGGTTGTAAGTACCTGCTACACACTGATTATGTGTTGTTGGTTTCAAACGTCATCATGTAAAAGGCTTCGCCCGTGATTTTACCTACCTACTGTATTACGATCTTTGATGTAGTTGTCTGAGATTCCGATGCCTGGAGTATGCTTAACCGCATTTTGAATGATAAGTGGATAGTTCGGTCATAATTACTGTATTTTATGTTTAGTTATTATGGAAATCAAGTTTGACTTGTTTTGCCACTAGTTACACCCACGCAAAACTTCTTAAAAATACTTATTTTAAAATAATGTCATTATCATTTTATTTCCGTTCATTACGAATAGCGTTAGTTGCTCTAAAACACAGGTTTAGCGTAAATACGCCAGTCAGTCGATTACGATCGCATCCATTATTTACCGTACTATACACACACGTCTTTTAATTATCACCTTTGACGTATACCGTCTTCTGTTTGAATCAGCGGTTAAAATAACAAACATTTCAGTTTTCTTTATTATTTTTTAGCTACAAGTTAAGTAGTCTAAGTAGGTACCACTTATTTATTAACTGCCCGGCTTTTCACGGATGAACTTAATTTTAATGCAATCAAACATAAGTACCTTATCTTATGAAACTCAGGGATAATGAAGTATTCTAATATTGAAAGAATCTTTGAAACCGGAAATTTTTACGAGTTTTTTTGTTAAAAAAATTACTCTTTATAAATCTTTACTTTTTACAGTATTCCTTATGCACCGCCTAATGTTAGGTTGTTTAAGAAAAGAAGTTTCACTTCAGATGTGTGTATATGGTGCACACAAATTTTGAGCATGCCTCTATAGCCACTCTCATTTTAAAAGCTATCACAGCTATTTACCTATTTATTCCCTTCTTCAGCCTCCTTGAAAGACGAAGCTACAGTGCATATTCTAGTACTATGCTTAGCTAAGTATTAACCAATTTACTTCGTTCAGCCTCCTTGAAAGGATGTCTGTTTTAAACTAACCTTCCTTTTTCTCTTCAATCTGCACCTTCTTCTCTGGGCCGCTTTCTTCGATGCCCATCTGCTTCATGTTGTCGGTCCTCTCCTTGGCAGCGCCCATGAAGGCCCGAGGGTCCGATAACGCAGCCATGAAGTCTGCGTGGAAGTTCGCAAAATATTATTTCATTGATCTTTACGTACTATATGTTTAATCTAGGCTGTACGTGGTTACTTAAGAATATTAACAAATTTGATATCCAAAGTTAGGTTCATGCCTCTAGCATTCCTGAAACGAAAGTTCGATCCAAAGTAGATGAAACATTTTTTTGGGCTGTATGATTTGATTAGTGAGACGATTTAGATAATTATCACCTAAATAGAAACTTTAGCTCTGTCTAATTCTGTGTGAATTTAAAATAGGGAGGGGACAAAGTATTTCCGTCTTTTAAAAATCAATAAAGTATTGCTATATGTTGACCGCAATCTTATTGACAAAATCTTGTTTATTTAATGGTAATCCTAGACAGATAAGAAATTTCAAAATGTATAAAACAATACAATATTTTCAAATAGTGACATTAAGGAGTATCTAATTCCAAATCACAGAGATAAATTAAATTATACTAATCTTTTATATGGCTGTTGCTCAAATATTTCAATTATAGTTTTTTTATGTTAAAACGGTGGCAAAAGCCTATGCCCCGCCTGATGGTAAGGGACCACGAAACAATCCTCTAGACGCTTGCGATACAAAAAATAACACTCGCGCCGTTGCCTACCCTGACTCAGTCCCCTATTCCTTGGAGTTCCAGTTGGAAAGTGGATTCCGAACGAATAACAGTATGCAAAACACTTACCTTCAAAGCCATCAGGTACGTAAATCTTGAGCTCGATGTTGCAGAACAGCATAGGCAGCGACATAGGGAAGTTAGCCTCGGTTCTCAGCGAGATATGTCTATATCCTGCCTGCAGACCGTCCAAGGGTAGGATTCGTTGGCCGAGAAGTTTGCCGTTCTCATCGTAAACGCCGAACCGGAGTACCGCCAGATCGGGCAATACAACCTGGTTTGAAAAAAATGGAGTTCTTCAGGGATCTTCACTGGGACCGTTAGGTATAAGACTGTTATAATCACGGTTATAAATAAAAATATTGGTCTATTTAATAGTGATTTCAGTTTTATTATATTAAAGCTGCATTATATTGCGTCAATTTACATTAATTGAACTATGTATATATTATACACAGTAATAGCGCTCACCACGTTTTTTGTTATTGCGACACGATTCGCATCGATTTGATAAAATCGCACTGCAAAATATCGCATAAGAAAATAAAGTACGCGCAATTCGATTAAAAATCGTTGGATTCTTTATTTTCAACATGGATTTCATAGAAGTTGGTTGTCTTTCCGTGCTCCTTCAGAGAAGGAAGAAGAAAAAAAAGTACTTTTTTATTTCATTAGTCGCAATTCTCTTTTTTCTCGTAAGAATCTTTACGAAGTATAGGGAAAGGATGCTAATTTGGAATACTGTTGGTAATTTGGAATACTGCAATATACTAAAGCGCCATCTATTAACGTATACCAGTTTTACGTAGTCTATGTGTTAGGAAACAAAATTAACGTGGCTTAGACCAGCCATATTGACAGTTCCGTGACAAACTTCATCGGAGTGAAAGTGCTGACGAGAAAATTTTCCAAATAAGTAATGAATCGGCTTGCATCTTGAGTGTGACTTATATTTCAGCCATATTGACAGTTCCGTGACAAACTTCATCGGAGTGAAAGTGCTGATGAGAAAATTTTCCAAATAAGTAATAAATCGGCTTGCATCTTGAGTGTGACTTATATTTATGTGTTTATATTTGTACAAATCTTAAGTCTAGTATGTCAGTTGTAGAAATCAACACTTATTTTAGAAATTAATCGAAACACAAATTCACAAAATCATTTTAGGTTAGAATTGGCTATGTTACTAATTTGGAATACAATAGGCTATGACTCTGGTTGTTACGTTTGTGACTATTGCAGTCTAGAAAAATATAATTGTTTTAATATATACTTAAGTTATTTTTCTAAATTGCAATGCTTTAATTTAAAGCCAAATAAATAGGTATTTCAGGTTAACCATTAGGTGATTGTAATTTGGAATACCCTATTCCAAATCAGATTCACTTTGGTTAAACTACGCCAATCTGTGATTTCTTAATTAAACCACAATTTATTCTACTTGTGATAATCAAGCTTGTTAATTACTTTAACTTGAATAAAATATAAGTTCTTCTAACATGAAATGCAGTGTTCACTTATTTATCTCTTCATCCATGTTTAATACGATTTTTTTTAAAAGTAGTATTCCAAATTTGCATTCTTTCCTCTAGCTATTCTAAGTTGTAGGGTGACCCAGGAGATATAGAGATTCCAAATTATGTTTAAAAAAGATATAGATAAGCATAAATACCTTACGAAACAGAAAAGGTTCTTCATTATAAACGGGATTGAGCCCGTTAGCGGGCACCATTCGGGTTCGGAACTCCTTTCTGATGGTATCAGTTGGAAGTCCGTACATATCCACTTCGACGTACGTGCCGATCTTCTTGTCTGATAAGAACTGGCCAGCTATCACCTGCCGTGATAATGATCATTATGTAGTGCTAAATACAGTTCTTTACCGCTGGAACTCTTGAGTGATGTTATCTAAAAGTATTGCAGTCTCCCCTCTAGTATCAAAATGTGTTGTTGTGATTGTAAGTTACTCTGTATAGGCATGGATATATTGACACGACACCTAACTACTATTTTGAGACCTAACTCTCAGAGAGTGGGATGTCGGTAAATGACAATAAGTAATCATAATTATCGTTTTTACCTGTGACTTATATACTTTTACAATAATAAAGTTTGAAAAGGACTATAGCTAATTATAGATCAAACAGAATCATAGATGTTTTTGAAGTATTTTATCCAGTTAAAATCACAGATATAGAAAAAGGATAGGTCGACACTCACATGAAATTTTTTCAGGATAAGTATATTAGTGGTGTTATAAAAGCAATGTTATATATCGCGTTTTTATCACGCTCAATTGTCAAATTACTATGGAGTTTGACAGTTAGACGCGATATAAAACGTGATATAATGTAAACTGTGGTGCTCATGCTACGGGAAGTTGATCTGTAAATAGCTCGGTTTTTATCACTTCCATATATCATAAACCGTTAGCTAATAGGCTTACTGATTCAACTACATCGGCAGATCTAACGCTTGGAAGGCAGTCCTCGACTTACGTCGTTTCGATTTACGTCGTTTCAAGTTACTTCGAACTATGTTTGGACACTATTTCTCAAAAATACGTCAATTGTTTCGATTTCCGGCATAGGAGAATTCACTTATCGCGAGGTGAATGTCCGTGGGGATGTCTCGACTTACGTCGTTTCGATTCACGTCGCGTATTTCGAGAACTTAACATGCCTTAAGTACGAGGACTGCCTTTACATATATACCATTATTGACCAAAATCAAAATACCTGTACGGAACACTGAGCAGCTATAACTCCATCTACGGGCGCATCGGCGAAGGGGTCAAAACTTCGATCCGCGCGTCTCATGAAGTCCGGCTTCAGCAAGTACCCGCAGTTGCCGTTGTATTCGAACTTGCCCTGGTTGAGCTGCATCGGCAGATCGGACGTTTGAAAGTTTAGGGAGACCATTTGGCAACCCGCGTTCCAGAATACCTGTGAAAAAAAGAATTATCGAATTATTTCGTAAAATGAAACTATAAAATTAATATTATCAGTAGGCGAATATTTCTTTTCTCTTTTTTCACAAGTTACAATTGCGCGCTGTGTGTATTTTTTTTCCTTTTCAGACGCCGCCGCCTTATTGTCAGTGCCTGATTTAGAGTTCTGACCGCCCTTGGTTAACTATAAATATGCGCCCCCTTGCCTATCCTATCCTACCTTTTCATGTAATTATAGGTGCAGCTTACTAAATTACAAGTACAAAAGAGTAAGCTCTCTTTAGTAGTTGTAATTTAATAAGTAACCGTAACCTGACATTATTGAATCAAACTGTCAGTAAAAGACCAAGACCGATAATTTTTGAAAGCAAAAATTCGGAGCAGGATGAAATTTTATGTAATTCTGTATAAATTACGATTTTCTTGATTTTGTACCTATCTATGGTTTTTAATATGTTTGTGTTAGAGCGCACGCAGAAATTTCATTTTAACGTACGTATTTTCCCAAAATTACCAAATATTATTATGTCTCAGCACAGCGCCGCACCCGTCGCCTGCCCTTATTAGCCTGTGGGTAAATCAGGCCCTGCTTACTGTCACGGGATTAATAAATCATATGTACATATTTGCTACTATTAATTAAACAACAGCAACATGAAAATAAACCAACCTGTGGCATGTAGTTCGAAGAATCAGCGCGCGTTCCCTTCGGGTATATTCTAGACATCTGCCGCTTGTTGTAGTTCACGAAGTCTATGGCCTGCGTCTTCAGGTAGTTCATGCCGGTGGTTTCCGCGAATGACGACATGTTGTGATAAATGTTTCGTTCTGGAGACGAATAATGATAACAAATTAAATTGGATATTTAAGTAGAAGTTAATAATAATAAATAAATATTTTCTACTTTCTTCTTTTAGATATTAGATTTAGATTATTCTTTTAGATTTACCTATTAGATAAGTGAATTTAAAAATAGGTTATACCTATGAACTTGTACTCAGTGTGTGAGCAGTGCCGTCTTTGACCTATTGGAGGCCCTGGGCATATTAGGATAAAGGGGCCCCTATAACTTCCGTTTGGTGATTTAATAGGAACTAGGGATTTTGTATTTGATCTGAGGGGGGGCCCCTATCGATCGCGGGGCCCTGGGCACTTGCTCAAAGTGCCCAATGGGAAAGACGGGTCTGTGTGTGAGGACTCCTAAGGTGGTTCGCTTTAGTTCTTTATTGAATAACAATATTGTATCACTTCCATGCTAAAATAATACGATTTTATTAAAATAATATAAATAAAAAAACAAGATAAGTATACCTAGTTCTAACATTCATTAATCATGGCAGTTATTACCACCATTTAATTATAAAATACTTTTTATTCTAGGCTAGTAAATCAATAATTCATTTTATGAAATAACAATGAATAATCTGAATGAGGCTACCGGGACGAAGTGAACGGATTTCCGAAAATATAAATTGTGTAGGAACAACTTACCTTCGTAGCTAACACAGACATTGCTACTTGTTGCTCAGTACTAATTTATTTGGTATTTAAAGAAAAATATTTTCATTTCTCCCCTAGAAATGGAGATAGGTATTTGCTAGGGGCTTTATTAATAAGACTTGGTTCTGGGAATCTCACAGGAATCTAACATTTTCCGCGATAAAAAGTGTGCTGTTTCAATCCAGTTAATAAAAACTATTATGTGTGCCAGATTACAGCCAAAGCCTGTCAGACGTTTTTGCATGATTGAGGACCTAATAATCATCCAAACCAAACTTACAAACTTTCACATTTATAATATTAACTAGCGAGTGCTCGCCGTCTACGTGGTTAAGTTTTCCCATAAAAAATATCATCCTCCATTCTACCTCTTTACAGTTTTATTTTCACGGCAAAAAGGACCCTATTAACAGTCTCCAGGTTCTCATCTATGTAGTGTTGAGTAGGACTTACAAGAGGCGGTACATTTGTCCCGGACATGACGCCAAATTGTAACAGCGGCTCAAAATTTTAAAATGTACTACTTCACATTAAATGTCGCGATAGTCGCGTCTCATTACTCACTCACTCTTCGTAAGTCTGAGAGAGAGAGCGAGGCGTGACATTTCATTTAAGTCCTTTACGCACTATCCATCTGTATCTCTATCTGTTTTACGTGTATAGCGCTGTCCTGCATGCTGGATCCAGCAAGATTGATAGTGCGTAGAGGAGGTGCTACTCGTGCACACAAACGTAATGTCGAGCTTCTGTACGCCTCAATGTCATATTTGTACTCGTCACTTCAAATGTATTGCCGAGCTTCAGTACGCCTCGCCTCATTTGAAGTGGGACATTGTACTGGTTCAGTACAAAAAAGAGGCTACTCTTACAAACTCTTTTTCAAGTCGTGTCCTACCCAACACTACATCTATGTCTAAACCAAATTGCAGCAAACTAGTTTCAGAGTTTTAGGCGTGAAAGCGTAATAAAACAAACAAATAAAAGCATTTATATGTGACGCGACTGCATCTGCGTGGTTTCTCTTACAAACTTCGAACCCCCTTTTCAACCTCTTGAAGAATGATTATTTGGATAAAAAAAAATATATCCTTTCGCAGGCCTCAAATTATCTATATACCATTTAAATCGGTTCAGCGGTAAAAGGTAACAGACAGCCAAACACTTGTATTTATAATAATCATCATCATATCAGTCGTAGGACGCCTGCTGAGCATAGGGAATAGTGATGTAACGAATATTTGTATTCGCGAATATTCCCTTATTTTTGAATATTCGCATTCACATCGCAAAATCTCTGCGAATGTTTTGCGAATATGAATATTAGAAAAAAACAATTTGAAGAAGTTGTAGTTCTTCCTTTTCTATAATATAGATTGTTACACAGCTTGCATTTAGCTCGTTCAGCATCGCTAAGTATGAAATTAGTCCATTTTCACTTGAATTTGATTTACTCAAGTTAATAAACCACTATTCAAACTGTAACCTCAAAATTCGCTTGTTTTATTTACGAAAAGACCGGCGCGAGCGGAATGACACTTCAGTCGGATGAGTTCATATCAAACTACCACCATACCATAGACAATTGGCGCCAATTTTGAACAAAAACTAAATATTCGCATTCTCGAATGTCGGTATATACCAGATATTCGCATTCGCATTCACGAATGTTTAAAAAAATACATTCGTTTCATTACTAATTGGCATAGCCAAGGATCTCCACAATTCCACATCGATCGGTTCTGCGCCACTCGCATCCATCGGCTTCCCGCGACCTTCACTAGATCGTCGGTCCACCTCGTAGGGGCCTGCCCACTGAGCGTCGCCCGGTACGTGGTCGCCATTAAAAATCAAATTAAAAAATCGTTTATTCTGTCTGAGCTGTTACAAGCACTTGTGAAGGTCTAGAAGCTACGCCATCGGATCGCAAAACTACGGCGGGAGCCCTTGTACTGAGAAGAACCGTCAAGAAATTCAGCTGCTTTTTGCTGCTGTTTTTTTCTCCCTGTATTGTTATTTTCAGAGTCGTCAAGTTGAACAATTACTTCAGAGATACTTCTGAAGTCACCTATTCACCATTCGAGAACTTTTCCGCCCCAAATGGCCATCGGTTCCCTTGCTACGTGTCCCGCCCAATGCCACTTTAGCAGAGCAATTCTTCGAGCGATATCGATTACTCTGGTTCTACTACTGATTCCTCATTTCTGATTCTGTCACGTCTCGTATTATTTATTCATCATCATTATCATCATCAGCCTATTAATGTCCCCACTACTGGACCATGACACACCACGCGGGCCCAGTGCGGATTGGCGGGTGCTAACGACTGCAGATGCACGCGGGACCAACGGCTTAACGTGCCCTCCGAAGCACGGAGGAACTCGAGATAGAAGATTTTTGGTCACCCATCCAATGACCGACCGCTGCGAATGTAGCTTAACTTCAACGATCGCAGCCGAACGCGCTAACCACCTGGGCCATCGAGCTTCTCGTATTATTATTATTAGTATAATATTAATATGAATGGATTATACTGACTGTCGGCCTCCTCGAAGCCCTGGAACTTGATGGGCTGCGCGTAGTTGACCATGGAGGACAGCCACGGGTGCACGTTGGTGGTGGAGCCGGTGTATGCAACGGGAGGCGGGGCGTCTTCCCCCGCTGACGCTGCTTCTGCTACTATTTCTTCGGGCTGTAATAAATAAATATTAATATCAATCGTTTTTTACTTCTTTTGTTGTTGATTCTGGTTTGTTGGCTGGCACTTGTTTTGGCCACATCTTGGCGAAACACGTCATCCACTGTTTTATTACAATGCATGTTCAGATGTTTTTTTTATAATATGCTGTCGTATTCTTGCCGCAAGTTGTTTGTTAATATGATATGATATCAATGATATACTGTATTAATCGATTCCACTTATTTCCACTCTTTTATATGTTAGCTTTTATTGTATTTATTGTTTAATATAGTTATTAGTCTTGTAAACCTAAGGCCCTGGTAGAATATCAGCCCCGCAGCGGCCCTGCCGTCGCTGTGACACTATGCTGAGACAGGGACCTAGTTGGCCTTTTTTTCTTTGAATGCTTTTGTTTAGTGTAATCTTATTATTTAAGGATAATAAAATTATTTCTTCTTTCTTTCTTTCAATAGATATAACTAACACTGAGCCCCTTCGTACACAAGGCTAAGCAAATCATCAACATCTGACGAAGCAACGTTGGTCTCTAAGCGACTACCGCGTTATAAATTCATAGAGTTTTTTTACAAATGCACGCGTTGACAACATTTTGTATTGTATTGTGGTAGTCGCTTAACAAAATCGTCAGGAAGATTTGCGTAGCATTTTAAACGAAGGGGCTGACACAGAGAGCACCCCACAGACAGATCAAAATAGATAGGTAACGCAGATGTGTATGTACTTCACGTGGCCAGATTATTCCAAAAGGTAGAGCAAAAGTCCTCATTTGACACTAGTCTATTTCATTTCTGCGCGTCACAGTCACTGGGACTATAGATAGAAATACTTACATAAAATGAATACACAGATATATTTTTTTAGAAATATATACATACATATAGCCTTGACATAAGTATGTAGCAATTAAATTTAATAACGTTAAAAACTTAGCAATATAATTCTTAAATATTAAGTCGTAGAAATATTATTATTTATTCAGCGCCATCTATCATCATGCATATAAATTATTCAATATCGAAATCCACTTTGACAAGCAATGGTCAAGTACAATATATGTGTGAACCTAGTAGTTGCATTTGGAATGTAAGTTAGAGGGAGCTAGTGTGTAATTTTTTAAATGAGATGCGGAAATGGATGTGACGTCACATTAATGTTCTGGAAACATTGAAAGGCGGAGTCAGCAAAACCGGTCCGTGTGCTTCCTCATACCAAATATGGTGATATGAGAGAAATTTGCAATGACGCTGTCACGTGTTGTAGTAGCCTATAAATAGCAGTGCACAAACAGATTCGCTCTCTTTTGGCTGATAGAACCTTGAAGACCATACTTAGAAAATAGCATTAAGACTAGCAGTGGTAGTCAGTGCATTATATACTTAATATTTCTCCCCGGATTAACGGGTAAGTTCAATACATTTGATTCGTTAGGCTGTAGGTCCAGTTAGTTTTTTATTGAATTATAGAAAAATATGTAATTGGTTCTAGGTCCATTAATTTGGCTAATAAATAACAGTAATAGTCACATTTACTTAATCCTGATTGGAATCTCCTTGGAAATATATATATATGAGCCTGTGAAGCTTCCTTGAGCAAAAGAGTGACGGGTTCACGTGATGACAGCAAGTCCTGCTTCATCCCTGAGGACATTTGAGTGATCCTGATGCTCCCATGATCTTGCCAAGCTAAGTAAAACTTTTAACTTCTTGATATTCAACCAGTGCATACTCCGGAGAACAATTTCTGTTTAACGTGATAAAGGATTTGAATTGGTAAACTGTAAAGCCAGTATAAGAACGTAACAAATTCGTATTGTTAAATTTTCAAAACTTAATATTTTATAACTTGTTTAATAATTTGTTTATATAAGAAACTTGAATTGAGTATTACTGTATTAGCATATGATCATGAATGTTTGAATAGCTTTAAATCAAAAGAAAAATCTTTGAAAAAATATAACTATGTATTTATTAACTTGAATGTGACTAGTATTAAGTTTTAACCATGATGAAATAAGATCTGAATCTTTTTAACAATATAATATCTTGTTCACTGCTGTTTTAGACATTTTCATTTATCTCCCTCAAATCACAGTATCACGGCGCCCTGATTTTAAATTAAATAAGTTTCGAGTCTCATGTAAGCCCTGAAATAGTCGGTGGTAACTAAAATTGTTACAAAATGGCGCCCAACGTGGGGCCGAGCAATAAAATACTGTATTTGAGGGAAATACTGGTGTGCTGATATGATGATAAAAAGGTTGGCGGAAAAATAAATGCTTAAATCCCCAATCAGTCTGAACGGCACACTAGAATTTAACATCTAATCAAAAAAAAAAAAAATTAACTTAAAAATCTTTAATATTCAGAATTTGTACTAATGTGTTAATATGATGATAAAAAGATTGGTGGAAAAATTTAATGCTTAAAATCCCCAATCAGTCTGAATAGCACATTAGAAGTAAATTACTTAATAACTTAGAAAACTTTAATAAACACACTAGCATTAATTAACTTAGCACATTAGAATTAATCAACTTATACTACAATAACACTTTCGTATTGATTGGATGAGTAAAAAATTGACCTTGAACAGTGAACAAGATAGTCTTTAAGAATTGAAACTTGTAATAATAAAAGTACCCTCCTTCAAAAAAAAAAAAAAAAAAATTTTTATAAATTCCTTTGTATTTAACTTTCTTAGATTAAATAACTTGAATAAGTAGCTTGATTTAAAAACTTGATTAAACGTAACTTAATAATTAACTTAATAATTAACTTAGTAACAGAAATAACTGACTTTAACTTGAAAAAATCTGAGAAAATGCTCTCTATACAAAAATATGTAAACTACTTAAGAAAGGATGAAATCATATATGAATTGGATATTCTTGGCATTTCCACAGCTCCTGACACATCGGTGGATGCACTGAGAAAGCAGCTTCGCCAAATTTTTAAGCTGAAGAGACGTGGCAGCATCAAGTGTGCTCCAGTGATCACACCACTCCCGGCAAGCGAGCTCAAGGCATGTACGCCGAAAATTGCTGAGCTCGAGGATCTGCTGTCATCAGGTGACCTCGGAAAGGACAGTAATCTTCACTTACGTGTGTCAGTTAGGGCTAATTATCTAATCGATAGACTTGCTCGATTGGAGGTTGACAATGCTTCTCTTGTGGATTTGCGCCACAGGCTCATACGTATCTTAGCTCAGGTAGAACAGGAAGATGAGAGTAGTTCAGACGAATTAAGTAGTAAAGAGGCAACTCCCGAGTGTGAGAGAACGAGCGAGATGAACGAAAGAAGGAAGGTGTACTTAATTAAAGATAGACGCATTAATTTAAACTCATTTAACTTAAAATATGATGGTTCTACTTGCGTTAGAAATTTTATAGAAAGATTGGAAGAAATTAGACACGCCCGCGAGATTCCGCAATCTCGTATGCTAACTTCATTTTAAGACCTCTTAGAGGATTCTGCTTTAATTTGGTACAGAAGTAATAAAGATAATTTTAACTCATATTCTGACCTATTAATTAATTTGAGAGAAGACTTTGATATTCCTGATTTTGAAATAGATTTAAAAAACAAATTATGACGATTAGTTCTCTATTAAAGTAAAATTTTAAAAAAATCTTAAATATCTAATATATATACAATTCATAAATTAATTACGATTGATTATTTAATTATCTCTGTTTAGTTTAGTGTTCACCAAGTACCTTGACTTTTATTTAAAAATATATATATTGAGACACTATTAAGAATGTCGTTAGTTAATAATTATTTTGATAAATACTTAAAAATAATCTTAATTCATAACGTTAATTTCCAATGGAACTTTTTAATATTGAACCTAACCTTAACATTTTTGATACCTCCAATTACTTTCCCTAATTACGATATATTTATCTACCTGCATTCTGGATATTGGTAAGGTACTTGTAACTTTTTTACTTGCAAAAAGTTACAGGAGCTTATTAGTATTTTCCACCAGGTGAGGAAATATTTAATTGTTTCTCACCAAAGGAATGAAGGATGGTTGGTATATAAATATGTGTAATTTCTAAGAAAAGAAATAATATTAACATGTCAATACGGCAAGCCCATATCTAAAACTTTTTTACTAGTAGTTGAGATTTATTTGAACCTTTTCCTCACACTTGAAATTAGAAGACGTATTTAATTGTAATAACATATAAGTTCAGAAATATGTTATGTTGCACCCTATACGGTCAGCAACAGGCATAGCTGTAGTTAGTAAAAACTTAATAATAATTTTTTTACAAGGTAAGCAGACACTTAATTGCTGCCCACCCAAGGAATAAAAATAAATTTAAACTTGATAGCATTTTCCAAAAGGGGAGTGGACTCTTAATTGCTACTCACCCAGGGAATGCTAAATAATTTAAACTTGACAATTTTTCCAAAAGGTGTGGAAATATTTAATCGTTTCACACCCAAGGAACAAAAGTTTACACTTAATAATACTTTCTTCCAAAAGGTAAGCGGATACTTGATTGCTGCTCACCAGAGGAATGAAAATTATTTAACTTAATAATATTTAGTTCCAAAAGATGAGAAAATATTTAATTGTTTCCCACTAAAGGAATAAATATTTATTAAATGTGTGGTAACCACTTAATTGTCACCACCAGTTGATACTTTGTCCAATCTTGATCGTCGATGTTTTTGCTTTAATGTAATGTTAACTTAGTAAAGATAGCTTAAATTTTTTTAACAAACTTAAAAAATTAATAAATCTTTGAATTCCACATAGGATGCTTATTTTAGTCACTTTCAGTATTAAACGGTTGGTTAAGAAGAGTTATGGTATAGGAAGAGTGCATATGGAAATCTGTGGGCTACGGTTCGAAACCTGCCTGAAAACTAAATTGTTTTTCTCTTTTAACTAAATAAATATTTATTTACAACTTTTTTTAACCTATATGGTCACTTTTAAAAAAAAAATATGCTTAAATGAAATTTCGAGGAATTTTAATATTTTAACACAAAAAAAATTTTTTTGATAAAATTATTTTCGTCAAGTTGTGTTTACTGATATGCATATGAGTATGAAAGTAGTATGAAATGCGTGATGTATGAAAAGTTTTTTTTTTTTTTTTTTTCCAAAATAAGCACGTGCAATTTATTTTAATACTTAATAGAAAAATAGATCTTGATGTAAGAAAGGCATAAGCATAAGGAAGTAGACATATACTTTAGACTTGATAATTAAAGATAGGAAGATTGTTGGAAAATAATCTTAATCTATTGAGTTAGAAAACATACAAACTTCTTTAATCTTGAGTTGTTTTCTTAACTACCTTAAGTTCATAAGATGAAAAAAAAGCCATGTTATACCACTGGATATTAGATCCAAGAAAGGTATTTACATCAAACTAAAAGAAAAATCATTAAACAGCAAATATTTAATTGTTGCTATTGACTTAGAGTTTAGAACATTACGTGGAGTAAATAAATGGATACTCACGTATATAAGTTTAAATTTTTTTATCTTGGCTAATACTTAGTATTGTTGATTTGTCTGCAAGTCAGTTGCAGGTTAATTAATTAAAAAAAAAAATTTTTTTAAAAAAAAAATTTTTTGAGATAAGGGGGATGTTGTGTAGCAATTAAATTTAATAACGTTAAAAACTTAGCAATATAATTCTTAAATATTAAGTCGTAGAAATATTATTATTTATTCAGCGCCATCTATCATCATGCATATAAATTATTCAATATCGAAATCCACTTTGACAAGCAATGGTCAAGTACAATATATGTGTGAACCTAGTAGTTGCATTTGGAATGTAAGTTAGAGGGAGCTAGTGTGTAATTTTTTAAATGAGATGCGGAAATGGATGTGACGTCACATTAATGTTCTGGAAACATTGAAAGGCGGAGTCAGCAAAACCGGTCCGTGTGCTTCCTCATACCAAATATGGTGATATGAGAGAAATTTGCAATGACGCTGTCACGTGTTGTAGTAGCCTATAAATAGCAGTGCACAAACAGATTCGCTCTCTTTTGGCTGATAGAACCTTGAAGACCATACTTAGAAAATAGCATTAAGACTAGCAGTGGTAGTCAGTGCATTATATACTTAATATTTCTCCCCGGATTAACGGGTAAGTTCAATACATTTGATTCGTTAGGCTGTAGGTCCAGTTAGTTTTTTATTGAATTATAGAAAAATATGTAATTGGTTCTAGGTCCATTAATTTGGCTAATAAATAACAGTAATAGTCACATTTACTTAATCCTGATTGGAATCTCCTTGGAAATATATATATATGAGCCTGTGAAGCTTCCTTGAGCAAAAGAGTGACGGGTTCACGTGATGACAGCAAGTCCTGCTTCATCCCTGAGGACATTTGAGTGATCCTGATGCTCCCATGATCTTGCCAAGCTAAGTAAAACTTTTAACTTCTTGATATTCAACCAGTGCATACTCCGGAGAACAATTTCTGTTTAACGTGATAAAGGATTTGAATTGGTAAACTGTAAAGCCAGTATAAGAACGTAACAAATTCGTATTGTTAAATTTTCAAAACTTAATATTTTATAACTTGTTTAATAATTTGTTTATATAAGAAACTTGAATTGAGTATTACTGTATTAGCATATGATCATGAATGTTTGAATAGCTTTAAATCAAAAGAAAAATCTTTGAAAAAATATAACTATGTATTTATTAACTTGAATGTGACTAGTATTAAGTTTTAACCATGATGAAATAAGATCTGAATCTTTTTAACAATATAATATCTTGTTCACTGCTGTTTTAGACATTTTCATTTATCTCCCTCAAATCACAGTATCACGGCGCCCTGATTTTAAATTAAATAAGTTTCGAGTCTCATGTAAGCCCTGAAATAGTCGGTGGTAACTAAAATTGTTACAAGTACAAATGCTCAAATTCGTCATACAAACGTTTGTCCTACCGGGATTCGAACCCAAGAACTCTGAGTATGCGACACCTTGAAAGCCAGTATACATAATAGTAAACCACGGAGATCGTTATAAATATCTGTAATTTAATGAATACTTACCTAGACAGAGCTTTTTAAAAGCTCCTAAGATGAGTGTATCAATTACGATATGGAATCAAGTTAAGTAAAACCATTCTGTAAGATACAAGCTCACTTATCATCATCAGCATATTAATGTCCCCATTGCCGGGGCACAGGCCTTCCCTATGGATGGAATAGAGAGATTGGGCCATGCACCCACCACGCGGGCCCAGTGCGGATTGGTGGGTACGAACGACTACAGATGCACCCGGGACCAACGGCTTAACGTGCCTTCCGAAGCACGGAGGAACTCGAGATAGAAGATTATGGTCACTCATCCAATGCAAAAGTTGCTTAACTTCAACGATCGCAGCCGAACGCGCTAACCACCTGCGCCATCGAGCTCCTCATGCAAGCTCACTTATAATCTCATTTATTCGAATTTCTGTCAATTGTCAATTTTATTATGTATTACTGGCTCCTTCAACGGTGATTGTATCATTTGGCCGATTAATGGCGCAACGCATATATAACATACGTCTAAAATTGGAGCTATCAAACTTGGGAGTGAAATTTTCTTTTACGAAATCGCTCTAATTTTCATTTTACATTCTGAAAATCTAGGAAATTCTACCTTTTTGTCTGGAATGGCGACGGCGGACGCGTCTTCTTTCTCCTCATCCTCTATAACAAACTGTCCTTGTCTGAATAACTCCAACTCTTGCTTCTCAACTTCGGGCTTCAAACGCTTGTTCTTTATGAGGATCTTGCGTTTCAAAGCGGAGGGTGGTGGCAAAGGTACGCCAGGTTCCAACTGGAAGATTTTGCGAATATGTTGTAAGTATTTTGATTATGTCATTACAGCAGCTTTTGAGATATACAACGAGATTTTGCAAGAAAAAGTAATAAAATAAAAAATACTTTACTATGTTTTACATTTTAATGCAGAGAAATAACTTCACATATAAAAAAATGTGAATTCAGAAATAAAAATCGAGGCAAGTGAAAGAAGTGCAAGAAGAAGAAGTGTGTGTAAGTGCAAGATCTTTATGATTTTATCAAATAAGGAAAATCGCGCATATTAGAACTAATACAACGATGCACGCACCACATGTTGATCGTGCCATGAAAAATTGACAACATTAGAGCTTCTTACAAAGTTTTCATCTTGTTTTTTCAATGTACGAAACGTTAAGCGTATAAAGAGGAAAGGTCGGCCGGTAAAAAAGCTCCCTAACAGCGTGTATGCTACAACGTTATGCTAACAGTCAGATGTGGTGGTGTAGTCTTTTCTAAATATATGAAAAAACGCCAGGAAAAGTGCTCGTTTGAATTTAAGAGAAGCTTTTGAGACAGACAACGCGATTTTTCAAGAAAATGTAATAAACAAAAAATAAGTAATAAATAGAAAAAGTAATAAACTATGTAACACTTCACAAATAAAAGTTTGTGCATTTAGAAACAAACATTGAGGCAAGTGAGTTTATGTTAAATTTAGGATTTTATCATATTAATATATTATTAAATTAGGAGGATCGCGCATATTAAAACTAATTTCAATCTTGTTTTTCAATGTAACTCTCATCATCATCATCATCATCAACAGCCTATCATAGTCCACTGCTGGATATAGGCCTCTCCAAAATGTAACTGTAACCCTAAATGTATAAAATAAATATTGTTTTCTGAGTCAGATGTGTTGGTGCAGTCTATTCTAAATGTATGAAAACACGCCGGGAAAAGTGCTTGTTTGAATTTAAGAGAACAAAAATAGTCATCGAAACTTTGAATAAACTCACAGGATGTTCGGGCAGTGGTTCCTTCAGCAGCAAATCCCCTAGGATCTCATCGCAGTACTTGGCAAGTTTGTATTGCTGCGCTTTGCAGCAATGATTCTCGAACGACAGTATGACAGGGTAGTCTGACGTCACGAAGGCGGTGTCCCGGAGCGCGTAGATCACGTCTTTGAACAATATGTCGGTGCACATTGCCATGCCGTGGGTGATGATTGGCTCTTCGTCCTCGCCTTTGCCGTCCCAGCAATCCAGTTCTACGCACCTGTAATTAAGTAGTGGCTCTTGAATTTTTGATGTGTAACATCTAATGGCTTATTTCTTTTGTAGTAGGTTTTATTACTTTTTTTTACTAATATAAGATGAAGTTTCAAATGTTACTACACATCATACGGGTCTACTGTAAGGCTCGCTCGTTTTTTTATAGTAAGCGTGCATAGACTGAACAATGTTTCTTTCCAATTCTTTGTATGAGATGGCTCTACTTTCTTCTTCTACTCCACGACAACGGCTATCTAGATAAGGAGTGGCCTTGTCATTCAACGGCGGGGCGGGGACTCCCTCCGCAGGAAGATGCCCTCTGCCTATAAAACCACAAGAGCTATTCCTGGTTTAAGATCCCTTAAGAATCTCGCTGTCACAAGCTCAGGGATGCTGTAAAAGTTATAAACGACCACCAGAGTATACACTCCAGAAACTAAAAGGGGATATGGTATGGATCATTGCGGGAAGTATGAGAGCACCGAATGAAATATTTTATTTAGCTGCTCCACAGGGTAACCTTTTCCAATATGCAAGCTTTTAGTTACTTAAGTGTCAAGTCAAATCATCTCATAAATTGTTTTGTTTTAATGAACTTGCTGATAATGATTTCATTTCTTTGTCTTACCTACATCCGGCGAGTAAGACCTGTCTGTACATTTCCACGGAGCTTTTCCCACCGAACTGCCGTCCGGAAAGGTACGTGTTATGCGAGGAGTTGATGTAGTAGTGAGCTAGAGGTTGGTCCATGTCCATGTAGAAGTCCAATCTGTCCAGGAATACGGGCGCGTTCTCGTCGGACATCAGGTAACGGATCAGCCCGTCTTTAGTGAGACATTCTGGAAATAGTTAAATTTTGATTTAAAACAAGATGTTTTGAGAGGTTCGGTAGTTCGAAGTGAGAGAGAATTGCGAGTAGGACACGCACAAAAAGGGTTCCATACCTTCGTATAATGATAATAGTATTTGAAATACAGCGCTTGTAAAGGTTGAGAATAAAACACATAAAGTAGGTATGTACTAAAGCAAATTACAGTTAAACATTTACTTAATCTATAAAATCAGGAAAGAGGAGATAAAAATCAAAAAACTAAGGTCGCGTTGTTTTATCTAAACAACTAAAGGGGAAAGATTTTATTGTTTGTTTGTTTGTATAGAGTAAGCTCCGAAATTACTGGACCGATTTGAAAAATTCTTTCACATTTAGAATCCTTCAGTATCCGTGATGAACATAGGCTATAGAGTATTTTCAAAAAAGTTAGGGTTCCGTATGTAAACTTCGATAATGTAACCCAACGTGTGTAAAAAATAACCTTATGTCGCGTACACTGCGAAAGACATTGACAATAGAGCAAAGTGATGTACTAAAGTTAGTTAACTAAAATACCATATGGCCAATTATCACAGTTCTTTCACGACTAGAGGTCCCCTGCGGTTTCACCCGCGTTAATTTAAAGAAAAAAGTTATGGTGAGTCAAATTCAAAGTTTAACCGTTTACCGAGCGCACAGAACGGAATCTCACAAATGGAATATTTGTGCCCGTTTTTGCAACATTTTTCATCTATGTTCCGCTGCTAATGGTCGTAGCCTCATGTTATATAGCCTATAGCCTTCCTTGATAAATGCACTATCCAATACAAAAAGTATTTTTCAAATTGGAACAGCAGAGCAATGGTGCATAAGGTACAATGGGTCCTTAACTACGCAACATTTTTTTTACTTGGAATGGAAGGTATATATTTATTATGAAGAAAGTCATTGTGTATAATACAAGCCTTTGCACAAAAACATAGTCTACACTACAGTTCTACACCGAAGCGAATTGAGTGCGGGCAACTAGTTTATAATAATCGTCATCATTTATAATTAAATTTGACTATTGATAACTCTGATTACAGAACAAAAAGCAAATGGAACGCATGAAACACGCGAGTGCGGCCACCAAAGCAAATACGAAGTCGAAAGTAGACTTTTTTGTCTTTGTGAACAGATTTTACAATGTTTTAACAAGGCAGCACAGTTCTGATAAATACTTCATATTCACGAGATGTATTCACAACACGATGTCTTGTAGTATACTGACGCGATTTGATATGCACTTTGACTTGATATTTGCTTTGGTGACACGCAATATGTATACTGTGCGCTCTGTGTGCCTTTAGTTCTGTAATCTGAGATAGATAAAATACTTGAGAAAAAATTACCGTTTGTCATAATGTTAGTCAACATTTATTTGCCGTGCCATTAACTATAGTCAAATTTCACTATGGACGAAAAACGCAGCCTATGAGAATTTCGTAAGTAGTTAGGGTCAATTCACACGTAGCACAACCACACCACGTCGCAGCGACAAAATGTGGTCAAGCTGTGGTTACGCGTGAATAGTGTCGCAGCGGCTTTTTGCAGTTGCGTTCTGGTACCAACAAAATGTCGATGTGGTTGCGTTGTCGCTGTCATTGCGATGTGGTAACCATGTGGTCATGTGCAGTTATACTCCGGCTTTCGTAGAGGAAACACGGCTTGACTGAACGTAGTCATGGAGGAAACATGACGTCATGTCGTGGCGATGTGGCCGCGGTGCCGCCGCCGGTGGTGGCGTTGCCGTCGCGATGTGGTTGCGATGTGGTCGTATTACACAGGTGGTCGATAACAACGGCAAAATGTGGTACGTGTAAATTGTAATATTAATTTTCAATACAAAATATACGCCCGACCACACGGCGTCGTTGTGGTGTGGTTGTGGCTGTGGTGTGGTTGTGGTACGTGTGAATTGACCCTTAAACCTACTATCATTCTTCGCCTCTTCGTTTTGTTCGTAGGTGGTGATGATTTCCGCTGCCCTCTTCTCGTCATAAAGTGGATACAGGATCTCGTTGAGCCGAGGGTCACGCTGCTTTTCATTTAGGAAGTTCACGAACTGTTCTAAGTTGATGCGATCTGATTTGCCTTGTGTGCTGGAAATGAGAAACGTATGTATGGAAATACCAACAAATAAATAAAATGAGGCAAAAAGTGGATTACGTTAGGCACTAAATAAAGATCTCGTATTTTAAAATCAATAATTATCAATGAAAAAAAAATCACTCCTTCAACAATGGAAAAATATCAAAAAATAATACGATATAAAATACTGTCGCAACTGCTCTAAAAATCGCAAAAAGATACCAACTATAGGAGTATTAAACCCTGAAACCAAGTTTATTAATGATCGAAACTCAAGATCGTGAAGGTAGTTTAACTACATATAGACTTGATTTACGATTACACTTTAATAATGCAAATTCCATCAGAACGACGCTACATAGTTCAAAACCCTTTTTTTATCGATTTATTAAACAATATCATCACCTTTATTTTTAGACACCGCTTTATTTATAGTAGGTACCTAGTTATCTAAGCCATAGCTATTGGAAAATTCATAACAAAGACAACTTTAATGAACGATAATTCGATTCCATTCAAATTGACTGAGCAATTATATTTCGGGATTTGCTAAATGATAACATAATATGACATAATTTGTAAATGATAACAAAATTGTTTACAGTATTACATTTGACTGCATTTTATTAAAGTACCAATTTGGTGTCACGTGAATTCACATTTTATTTTCTCATATGAGTTTCCCTTTAGTCCATTTTCTTCTTTAAAAAATACTATGTCTTGTATCAATTTAAAAAAAAACCTTGTAACGCGATGATGTGCTCATAAACTTACATTGATCTAAACAATTCTTCTATATCATTCCTCGGACAGATTTTGTGGTATAATGCGTAGAATTTGTCGAATGTGAAGGCCTCTTTCTCCATTGCCTCGTTCTTCCCCGACGGCAGCCCGAGCTCCGACAAGCATTGGTACACCAGCTTCTCAGTCTTGCCTGATGCGAAGGTCCTCGCCACCACTTTCACTGGCACCTTGCCTCGAGGATCCGTGAGGAAACACAGTCGCATCCAACTGGGAAACGAAAGTCATTAGTCTGTGATCTGTAGGATTTAAATAAAAAACGTTGTGTCCAAGACACATTCTGTAACAACAATCTCTTTTTCACCTCGCATCCGCGCTGTGATTTGAAATTAGAACACTAACTTCAAATAAATTTAGAATCACACCGGTGGATTCAGGGGTATTGTTGTTGGTATTTACAAATCTGAATCCCCGGGCCACTTACGATTTGATTTCTCCCCTAATAAATCAAATCAAAACATAGGACAGTAACGAATGCCTTTTTAAAGCTTCTGCCGCCTCTTGCAGCCTGCTGCCGAGAGCTATGGCCCTTTTAGCCCTTGGGTAAATTCTCCCCTAGGTGGCTTCTGAGCTGAAAAGTTAGTTTGATTAATACAGAATAGCACTGCCTTTTCAGCAGTGTTTTGGAAAAAGATTCTAATTTTGATAGTCTTATAATGTTTCAATTTGAAACTTATTATCTGCTTTGCTTTTGTGCACGGAAAAACACGACACAATTATTATAGTAGGGGAGCCCAAGCGGGGATTTTTGGATTTATTCCAGCGTGGCATAATAACAAATGGGGAGCAACCTTGCACGTAGTTAGGTACTCTCACTATACCTGAGCCATCTATGTAAGGCCGAACGTCTAGGGCAGCAAAAACAAAATTTCAGCAAACGGCCATGACTTTTGGTCGGGTCCAAATCGTCAGTCTTTTGAATAGGAGCTACTGGAGGGTTCACGTCAGGCGCGGTCCGAAGGGGGAGGTCACAGGGGACATGACCACCCCCCCAAATCTAAAGTCAAATTGAAAAATCTCAAAAATTTACCAAATAATAGAAGGAAATTTCTAGCTATCTCCTAACAGCGATAAATTTATAGTTTGTTGACATCTAGTGGTGTTTTTATGAACTACGTACGATGGCCAAAATAACTTGGAAATGACATCTAGTACTAGTTTAGAAACAAGGAACCGAACTACGTAGTTTTGGTAATCCTAGCAAAATCGATATGCGTCGTTATGATAAAGATTGTATAACAATATTCTAATAATGTAATTTGTCGGTTTATTGTCAAGATTCAAGATAAAGGCTGCTTAGTTAAAAACGTGGTTGAGAGCTAACATGTTAGAAGAGCGATTAAGAGATTTAGCTCTTCTAAATATTCACCCGGAAATAGTACCAGACTTCTCAAATATTATCACCCGATTCGCAAATACAAAAAGACGACTTCCATTGATTTTATAAGTACTAATGTATAAAATAAATTTGTGTCTTGTGCAATAATGTTTATTTTATTCCAGATACCTATTTTAAGTGTTCCGTACTCAAAAGGAAAAACGGGACCCTTATAGGACCACTTTGTTGTCCGTCCGTCCGTCTGTCAAGACCGTTTTTCTCAGGAACGCGTGGAGGTATCAAACTGTAATTCATATCTAATACTCAGGTCTAGAAAAAATCAAACTTCTAAGCCAAAGCAATCAAAAGGTACAGCCGTTTATGCCGCAAATTTTCGAAACTCGCACCGGAATCAAAACCCACAGGGTACTACTTCCCGTGAACTTAGAATTTTGAAATTTGGTACAAAGTAACGTCTTATAGTACAGATAAAGGAAAAATTGCCAAAAACCGCAAATTTTTAGTTACATCATATAATAAAAAATATTTTTGAAAATTCAGGTGTGTACGGAAACCTCGGTGCGACTCACACTTGGCCGGTTTTTTTTATTAGTTTAGTGAGTGACCCCCTCTTAAATTTCAGGCTGCGACCGCGCCTGGTTCACGTAACATCCCTTCTCAATTTCTGACGCGCTCTGTTATTTTTTCCTTTATTCTACCCCTTCGTACGGCCACCCCCATATCATGCAAACCGCGGCAGATCAATATTTTTTCCGTTCTTAGAAACGTTACATGAACCCTCTGTTATTCTGCCGCGCTCGAGTAAATCCAAAAATCCCCGCTTGGGCTCCCCTACTATTAGATATGCATGTATATATCATCGGTTACTAATGATTTTTAAAGTATATCATAGGTTAAACATTTTATAATATTGCAATGTCTTTGCATATAAACTACCTACTTACTTTTAATGTGGCAAGGTACATATAATAGAGAGTATTTACTAAAATCAGCGTAATATATTTTCCTGTAATTTCTAAATTTATTAGACCCACTATTTTATATATGCAAACGATTGCAAATTCAACATTACTAAACACTACCTACACGGACTACTGCGAAAAGCTTTAGTTAGCAGTATATTCTGTTTTTTGTAAATAGCCGTTAATCAGTGATTTTAAACAAGTACCTATTTTGAAAATTTCACTTTATTACTCATTGTGTGTAATACTGAAGGCATCAAAATAAATTATATAAGGAGCTTGAAATTTATTTAAGCAAGTAATAACGAAATTCCAAAAGCGCTCTGTTGCTTCTCGAGTTTAGGATGTAGCCAAGTAATACAAGATAGCTAGCTATTAATATCAAACAAGCAGAATTCCATTCCACATAAATATGTTCACCTTGAAATATTTTTTGTAAAATAATAACGAGTAATATACCTACAGATATGTGTTATACCATTAAAACAAAAGTAAAAAGAGCAGCTTGACCACAACTTTTTTATCATTTATTTATTCCCATACAACAAACGCAGTTTTTTTCATTATTTGCTTGATATTTTAATATAGTTTCTTATGTTGTATAGTTAATGGCACTTGACCGGTTTTGAGCATGGTCGGTAGGTGACTGTACCGTGCGCACTTGACGGAACCATCAATCGGCCTCAAGTCGCTCATCAACAACGATATAAAAAAAACCTCAAAAATATGGTATTTATTATCGTTGCTCATCAAGTGAAACCGTCAATCACGTACGACTTGTCAAGCCGACGCATAAGACCTACTCTGAAATATCAAAAATCAAACGTTCGCTAAATAACAAGAAAGCGATAAAACTCCTGTTGCGTAATCAAGTGCCTAACGAACGGTATTAAATAGCGTACGCATACTTTCATCCTTATCACACTGCAGTTGCCATCATATCCTATATCCTTTTTAAGCGTCAATTTTATAGTTCGAGATTTGTTTAATAAAAAAATAATATATCTAATATTTTTAAAGTAACTTCTTTATTTTATATTTAATATAAATTTGCTTGAAAGACCTACAAAACATTCTGTAAATGTATGTGTGACTTAAGCACACAGCACATTAGGCCACAAATAGCTCACACCCTATATCTTCTTAGTCGAAAAGTTTCTTCTCGTTATAGGGGTCGAGCTCAAGGGATTATAGTCATAAAGTGCAGACCGCAAATTATGCGGCTGCTCTAGTATCGTAAGTTTAAAACTGAATTTTCATGTAGGTTATTAAGTAAATAGGAGTTACCGTTGTGTTCCGTTTGTTGTAGCGACTTCAACTCCAACAGTGGAATAGGCTTTTAAGCCGTAAACTTTGTAGGTACGACACAAGTTCTCTTTACGAAATTGGGTTGAGGAGGCGGCCATATGCGAAATTAATTTATAACTACTTTAAACTAGGACGAATATCATTATATGTACCTATCTATCTACTTAGCTACTACGGTAAAAACGAGTGCAATGTTGGTTAAATTTAACGTGGAGGAATAGGGCACATTTCTCCCTTTATCGTTCTGTTTAGTTCTAAGATTGATTTCAATTAATAATATTTGTAATCTATACTGATATGGGGGTAATATCTCTACACCCACTGTACCGACTTTGAAAATTCATACATAACGTTACATAGGACGCATTGATTATATTGCGAACTCTTTAAATTCGGTTGCTTTGTGCGTCGATATGTACTACCTACCTAATATTATTATAATACGTAAAATGAAAATTTAAGCTCTAAAGCAAATTATGAAGAACCATTAACGTCACCCCTTCGCTTTCGTCGAAAGTGTAGCTGACGGTATGTGATAAGCCTTGTTATATTCAACCTCATTAAAATCTCATTGTTTGATGAAAACCTACCAGATTAATTAACTTAAGGCATGGCAAATTGGGAAGTCATTTTATAAGAGTAAAGTCTTCTGTTTTTGTAAGCACTTTTAACAATGTTTGAACAAGGCGGCACAGTTTTGTTAAAACTTAATACTTATTCTCGGAGTACGTATTCACAACACGATGCGTTGTAGTGTATTGACGCGAATTAATTTTGACTCTGTATTTGCTATGGTGCCACGCATTGCGTGTTCCTTGCGCTCCATCTCCATCTGCCTTTTGTTCTGTAATCTGAGGGTCTTAGGCCCATATTATAGAAAGATTCTCAGTGATTGATCTTTCTATAATACAGGCCTTAGTATATAGGCTATCGCGGCAATGAATTATCAGGTTGGCACTTACAGCATTTAACCAACTCCTCTATGGGCGGGCAACATGCTAAACTTTTTACATAAAAATATGAAAGTTGATAGATAACACTTGTCTGAAATACTTACGTTCTTCCTCCCAAATTTAAGGGAAAATACCTATGTAATTTAAATGTTTTTAAAGAATTTATTTAAATGCATTCCTTTGCAGTTTTTTTAACCACTTTTATCAATAACATCCATCCATATGTAGACAAATGTAGACCACAATCCCCCGCGCTGGCCTTGTTGGGTAAAACGAGAAGAAGGGATATTTTAGATGAAACGAGAATTTAACTTTGGCTTGGGATGAAATATTTTTGGAAGTTGACTAGCGGCACATAGACACGATAGAGAATATTATAAGCAAGCTTTTCCCATATTGTTTTTTTTTAAGAATGGGAATCGAATTGAATGGCCTAGACGATCCATACTAAGTTCTCGAAATCGAGCTACACGACAGAGCAGGCCAGACGCGTCCTACGTAATACCTACATTAAGATAATATGAATGCCCATTTTCTAAATTAGCCACACAATAGGTAATGCTTTCCTTATATAGCAGTTCTTGCGCACAAAGTAATCAAGAACATCGGCGGTAGGTTTAATCAGAATAAAAGCCGTTTTGTTTTGGTTCAGTAAATGGCCTGCCGTGTATGATAAATTTTAGAGATGTACAATGGAATGACAGAACTGCAATATCTTAAGGTTTAATAAATAACAAAACAGAGGAATAACGGGGGGGGGGAGGGGGTTTATCATGAAGATAGTTACTTTGAACCTTGTATTTAAGTAGATAGACTTTTATGTCCGCCTTCCGTTGAGAAACGGAAATGAAAATAGTTGGGCGGAAGGAAATAAATTATAAAGGATTTCCCTTTTCAGATCTCCCTTTTGTATGTATACGGAAGTGGAAGTCCTCATCCCCAGTAGTGGGGAATAGTGATGAGATATAAGGAAATTATAATAACAGTTATTGTTTGGTTTGTGTATAATAAATACTATACTAATGTTATTCAAGCTATAATACTAAATATTATAGCTTGAATAACATTATTTTTAATTCTATATTATTAGGTAAGATCTTACATAGGTAACTATTAAATAAAAATAGCCAGGAATGTAGAACTGAATACCTAATTCCGTACAGTGATAGGAAGGTAAGTACATCACCTAAAATAAAATTTTCGAAATTATTCTTCTCGTTGACTTACTTTTTACCAACCGCACTGGGAAATAAACCTCTGTGAATTTGTTTGATTTGAAATATTTGTAGCTGAGATTTGGAAATACTTTTCAAATTGAAAGGTAGCGCAGAATAAAGATTCGTGAATACACAAGTTATTATCTTACTAATGAATATGAGTACGAACTACACTTTAAACAAAATTTCGTATGTTTTGCATACTTCTTAATTGTATACTTACCTACATAATATATTGGATCAAATAGGTGTTGTGCTATAATGATACTGTGCTTACACACATAGAATAGACCCCAAGTGAGTACTTAACGAGTTGAAGCGAATCAAATAAATAAAGCTATTTTTTATAAAAGCTTAAGGCGTGCAATTTATAATATAAGTCAAAATTTAAATCGTTAGATATTAGCCATTTACATTCACAATTAAATAGTCTACAATTGTAGTGGAAAACTATAACTTTCCTCCAATCAAACAATCAAAGCTGCTTCATACTGTCAATTGTTGTACGCATACATTTTACCAATTTGAATAAATGCAATAACTATTATTTATCTGTTGCTATAATCACAACAACTGAAAGTATTTTTGTCTAATTAAATGGCTGTCGTTAACGTACTTGATATTTTACTATATACTTTTTATTAAAAGTATTTGTATAACCTATTAATTTTAAAGTCGTTGTAATTTATCTGCAGACATTATGGTGATTTCTCACATTCAATAGGGCATATATCTAGCGATTTAAATCTTTCAAGGAGGTACGTACTGTTTCATTAGTGTAGTTCTTGGGCATACATTGCTGATTTTGTTGTTGTGAGTGATGGCGCGAAGGCCCTCCTTCCATACCTTGGCAAAAAGCAAATGAACCAACGAATAAACATGCATTAACAGTAACTAATCAGCTTGTGCACATTTTAATACAAAGCTTTCGAGTTATGAAAGCATGTTATTAAATAAATTATTACTTTAGGCATGTTTTCCTGGATATATACCCATCTACTTGTTGAAAATTTATTGGTTGTTTTCCTATCACGTGGTGATTGACTTCTGTAATACTTTCAAAATAAGAGTATGAAAAATAAAAATGCTTTAAAAATACAACTAAGTTCGTGCCTGCGCCTGCTCTAATCGTGAGGTATAGTAGAAATTCGGTAGGTAAAGAAGTAAGGTAAGTGATACAAATAAAAAACAAACTCAAACTCATTTATTCAGTCTAGGCTGTTACAAGCTCTTGTGAAAGTCAAACGCTACGCCATCGGTTCCTAAATCTATGGCGGGAGACCTTGTACTGAGAAGAACCGGCAAGAAACTCAGCAAGGGCTATACAATATCTAGATAAGCTATCTAATTTCAAACACTCATATCAGGATAAATTATTCGAAGAAGGTGATAAATAAAAGCAAGGCATTATTCCTTGGTTCATAAATTTTAAGTAAGAAAACATATTACAATCTATTATCAGAAATCACTTAAAAAGAGCTAATTCTGAACCCTTAGCCTAAGACTTTTAAAAACATAGTGACTTAACAAAGCCTATTAATTCTTAAATTATAGGAATACTAGCTGACCCAGCGAACTTCGTACCGCCCTAAAAAATAGGGGTTGTCCAGCGGACAAAATTGTGAATCTAAACCATTCTCAGATCCCCTTGAACACACACAAAAAATTTCATCAAAATCGGTCCAGTCGTTTAAGAGAAGATCAGTGACATACACACTCACAGAAGAATTATATATATAAAGATTGTTATAAGAGTATAAATTATATTAAAATATGTATTTCTGAGCCTTTAATCAAGTGTTTCCATGGGATCCTTGAACAACATTCTAATTTATTTTACTAAATATTTTGCTTAAATTGCTATTCAGATTTGACTACCAAGAGATAAAGAATAATATAAAAAAACATATACAAACAAAAATTAGCAAATTGTCATATCTTCTGGTAAATATCATTAAATATTGGAAAATGAATATATTTTGATAGATATATTTGATAAAAATAAGGCAATTTATAAAAGTAGGGTTTATTAGTACATTATACTTCATAAAAGTTTAAGTAGTATTTAATTCGCATATTCTAACAAGTTAAATTTTAAGTCATAGTCAACTTTTTGATTAGTTAGGTATATTGAAATTATATGAAACAAAACTTCAAAGAATAACGTATTAAAATTCGTTAAAGAATACAACAAATTAATAACGCGCTATGAAAAGCTTGTCCTTCACAAAGTACCGCCACTACTGACGCTATGAGCTCGAGAGCCGCTCGTGTGTGTGTGTAAAGTATTTTTGACGTAAACATAATTTAAAAGACTTTTCTGCACTACTTGCCTTATTTCAGCATAGGCCTTATTTGTATCAGGTAACTTATTTAACTATGGTACAATCGTACCAACTGATTCCTGATCTGACCCGCTTGCCCGATAATTCGCTTAAAAATGTGTTTTTTCATTTTTTTTTGAAGCGGAATTGCATTCAGATCCTACTAATATCAAGGAAACTGTATTATTATGGACTATAGATATTTGAAATTTGGCTTTTATTTTCAATGCAATAGATTATATTATAGATAATCTTACGTTTGACTTACAATAAAATCGTAGATGTAACAGATTTTTTTTTCGATTTCTTGACATTATAAAAACGTTGGTAAACTATTAAGGAAATCCTTAGTCCATAGGTTTCAACTCCAAATAATTAAATGTCAAAAAAAAAAGTCACAGGAAGGTTGCAAAATCTGTCATGTCATTTGTGGTTGCCCAGAAAATAACAAGTTTGTTTCCAGGGATACGTACATTTAAGCAAAATCTACCTTATTGTTTTGAAATGGTTGTAAGAAAATAAGCTTGTGGTGGGTCAGTAATCAAATTGGCTGATCGTTCATACTACCCAAACTGGATTTTTATAACTTTTGCTATAGTTACTCAATGATATGTGTTTTATTGTCTCATTTAAAGTTATCTATGATCGGCAGTCGGCACTATGGGATCGAAGTCGGTTTCGTGTTCATGTTAAATTATCTGGATTTTTCTTATTACATTTTCTACACTACTTGAAGATCTTATTCTCTTATATAATTACATAACGTACACAAACAACAAACACAAATTTTCATCAAGTATTGGTATCACTTCGCAATAAGTAGATTAAAATGCACACAATAAATAAAAGTTGGTACAAAAAATAATATAAAAAATAACAAATGTAAAAAGCGAAACATCATTCAACACCCCAAGACTTGCAAAGAAAAACATCAAGAGAAAAAGAAAGTGAAGCCATGTCTGTAACATTATCTTTTGTTGACTTACTGCTTCTTGAGGCAGGTCATGGGACAGAAGTTGTTTGCTTTTACGTTGTGGGTTATCTTCCGGAGTCCTTCCAACCATACCTTTTGGGTGTGATGTAAAGTTACATTATAGTATCATTTCACTTCTTTTGAAAATGGAAGTGATCTAAGTTCTTTTAATCATAAGTTCTAATGCAAATTCAATGAACTTTTGAAGGTAATATCTACGGAAACGTTTATTGCATTTAAAAATCTTATGCCTGCCGCCCGGCACTTCACATGGCTATACCTATATATGTATTTGCTGTTTTTACATTTTACAACAGTACATCCTCATCATACTTAACTTTATAAGAAATGCAAATATAAACTTCTCAAGTTCACAATTAGCAAAACAGGGATAGATCGTAAACCATTAAAGATAGTGATTTATCAATTGTACTTTGCAGAAAGAAGTAATATAAGATTGATCAGGCTCAGATTATAGATTTTGTTCTGTAATTGGGATAGAGAATTGAAAGACTTAGAGTGTTGTCCTTAGGGTGTTTGGCCAAAAGATTTTAACAGGTTACAGGTTAGATGATGAATTTCTTTAGTACAACGATACTGACCTTCGCGGTAGCGGCATCAGGGCAGACCACGTGCTGGTAGTTGATGTTGATGTAGTCGGTGCCGCTACAGATGGTCAGCGATTTATCTTCAAGGGTTTCTCCATGTTTGTTGATCAAGTTGAAGCTCAGCTTAGAATCCTGTGAAGGATGAGCAGATTTATTTTCGGTCGAATTAATGGTTGAAGATACAAGACTTTTTCTATTTAAGCAAATCCTGCATCGGATGCTGTTTTGCTTATCTGTAACAAGGTGTGAACAATCACTTTGTCTTGTGGCGAATCTTAGTTGGTATTTGTTCAAAAATGTCTTAATAAAATTATGAATAGGATATAACTACCCATTTGAGTTTTCTAAAAGCCCCAAGATCATTAACGTTGTAGGCCATTTTTGATGGCGCAATCAAACTTCTAAGTGAAATATGGCGCGTATGGCTGTTATAATAACTTTGAAGTATTTGACATTAATATTGATTTTCTATCTCTAGCCGATCTTTACTTAGTTACATAATATACTTTTAAGTCAACTAATATTGTTGTTTAAAGTAGGTAAAATATTTTAAAGTATGTACCTAGGTATAAATCACTAAGGCAGAAAAGTAGATGAGAGACAAGAAAATGTAGGTACATAATTCGATAAAATTTCATTACTAAAGTTTACTTTTCCGAAGCTTTTGTAAAGTATTGGAAAATATACGAAAAATACTTTTAATTCACCTATTATGAAGATAAGTAATTTAAATCAATTTTATCTTAAAGATGAAAACACGAAGATTGATTCTTTGAAAAATCGAAGGATGTTTCTTTACATTTGTCACCGTTGGTCATCTATCTGTCGGCTATTCGGGCCTTGCTATTATACTAATGGCCCTATCCATTTTTTAAGTTCGAGTGACCTACATACGAAAATGATAGAAATGACCCATTTCAGGAAGAATATTACCTTTCGTCATCGTTTAAGGATCATTCTTGGAGATGAAATGGATTATTCAGTTAATAATGCCAATGAAGTTGGAAAATTATTAGATATCTTAATTCTGGTTTACAAGCGCGTCGTGAGCCCAAGTTCATATACAGAAATGAAGGGTGTAAAAGTGTGATTTTTAAGTACATGAAGCTTCATAGTTACAGTTTTCTTTGTACCTACTAAATGCACTAAAATTAGCGTTCGTAATTTTCCCCGTATCGCAGTAGTTCCATTATCTACTTTCATTGTGGAACTACTGGGATTTTTTTCTCCCTAAGGTTTGACATAATTATCAGAACAATTAAATCTAAATTCGTTCATCTACAGAGGCGTACTGGAGTCTGCAAGCAAGAATGGATATAATAGTTTCTTCTCCATTGATAGCAGTTTCATTTTCAATGTGAATGGCTACAATCTTTATTTATATATTTGGGATACAAGCTTCTAAATGTTGCGTATGACTTTTGGCCATGTACTTGCTTTTATTCAACGCGGACGAGGTAGAGCGTTTCTTTACCGTGGAAGAGAATACTATAAGCACACCAGCTGTGAAAGTGGTAATAGTATATGGAGATGTAGTTTATTCAAAATTCAATATTGCACTGGCACAGTTCCATATTTCATATTTGAAAAGAAATTCTAAAGTCTTTAAAATACTGTTAAACGTGCCAATACGTACCTGGAATGGAACTACAGAATGAAACTATTGAGACTAATTTTGTCTTGCATAAACAGGATGCCAGTTCCATTAATCTACTGGGAGAAAAAGAGCCCAGCAGTCCCATAATGGAACTACATAGATAATTTAACTACTGGGATATGGGGGAAATTTGAATAATGGAACTACATAGATAATTTAACTACTGGGATATGGGGGAAATTTGAATCAGTTCTGTCGTAATGAATTAGCAGTCTGCGTGTCTATAGACGTGTGGGCTTCTATTTTATTTATCTAATATAACTTGTTTCATATAACTAAAATGTTTCATATATTTATTATTACAAACTTAAAACTAATGTTATTTAAACTTAATTAATTACATTTACATAACATTAATATTTACATCAGACTACATACATTACACAAAAACATTAATAATAAGTCAACACCTTTTATAAGTATTCATCAATAAACTTAATTCATGACATACGTAAATATGCCGGATGAACGTAACTCGCATAGTGGAACTCGCGCAGTGGAAACGCGCCGTTCGTTCTACGCGCGTAGGTTCGTTCGTTCTGTGTTTCGTGCGAAAACCACCGAATATTGAACGCGTGAACTTCAGTCAATGTCCGATGTTGATGCGCTCAAATCTGTTTACGAATTGTTGTCACTGATTTGTTTCATGGCCTCGTATTGTGTCGACATCTTCTATAAATCGATCTATGCATTCATACATTGACCGACGTATTTCTTCTGGAATTAATAATCCAGCATAATGAGCTCGAAACTCGGCATCGTTCTTTTTACCTTCCTTCTTCCTCGTTTCTCGATGTTGATGTCCATGTCATTGCATTTTTTTATGACAAAAGTTACAACATTGTCTACAATGGTGGTTCGTTCGGTCACTATATACTCAAACAAGGCGTTTAATTTGGTGATTCCTATATCAAGAGTAATTTTTGGAGACTGCAAATATTGTTGAACTTAAGTTACTTCTTCCAGTACAGAAAGCCAGAATTGTATAATAGGTTAGAAAAGTAAAATCACAAACAGCCGGCAGGAGCAGGCTTGCTCCTGATCTTGTATCTAGATTTGCTTTTGTTGGATCTTGAAAATGTTCCAAACTACTTACAATTGTCTCTATGATTTCTTTTACAACTTTTATTGAATCGTAATGAGAGCTCTAGCGAGTATCCGATAAACGTTTTAATTTTTTTCCAGTTTTCACTTTCAGCAATTGCCATCTCTCTGTAGATGACGAAAATAACAAATATAATTTCTCTACTGTTCCAAAACACGTGACGCTGGAAGGAACGCATACAAATGCATGAACTCCACAAAGATTCAAGGAATGATTAGAACAAGGACTGAACAGTGCATTTGGATTTACTTTTCGGATTTTTCGTTGCACACCTCCATGGACACCTGACATTGACGCGGCATTGTGGTAACCTGCACAACGCAATATTCAGACCGTCTTTTTCCAGCTGTTGCTGAATGTCTTTTGACATATCCTCAGTAGTTTTTCCAGACATTAAAAATAAACGCAAGAAAGATTCTCTTACTTCCACAATGTCATTCTCTATATGAAAGAATTTAATGATTTGACTCATTTGATTAATTTTACTTTCATCAGGAGTGCTGTCAAAAGTGATTCCGTAATATCTGCAATAATTAATTGCCTTACATGATCACCCAAACATTGAATAAATTCATTTGGTATTCCTTTTGGCAAATAAGATGGTACTCTCTTTGACCCACCAGCAGCCTCTTTTATGTAGGCGTAAAAGAGTGAATTATTTGCACTTCATTCTTTCTGTGTACATTGTGATAATTGCTATGTCTGATAAATGGTGGGAGCCTATTATATTAGATTACCAAGAAACTGTATGTATCATTGACACCATACCCATAAATATACACACGTTAATAACCACAGACGCTAGACCATAGATGAATGATTGGTCTCGCGAGACCAATCATTTACCTATGCGCTAGACCAGTGGTTCTCAAACTTTTTAAATGACGGAACCCTTTTGGGAAGCAAAATACTTGATGGAACCCTACAATAAAACAATTATTTTTATAAGTGTATTCTATATTAATCAGCATAATAAAAGTACAATGTATCCGTTACTAATTATTATTTACTTCACCACTTGGTAAGGACAATAATAGAAAACATTAAAAAAGAAAAAATCTAACTAGTGGGAGGTATGAAACTGTTTTTTATTTTTCATCAATTGCTTGATATCAGGTTTGATGGAAGAAAGTTGGAGTCTCATATCAGCTTCGGCGTCCAGTCTATTGCGATATTTTGTTTTCGTGGCTGCGTAGGTAGAGAATCCTGTTTCGCACAAATATGTAGTTGGGAACGGGAGAAGAATATCCAGAGCCATTTGGCCAAGCATTGCATATTCATCTTGGATTCTGCACCAAAAATCATTAAGAGGCGTCGTTTTGAACAATGACTCCATACTTGTGTCTGATGACATTTCTAAAAGAGATTCATATATCTCATTTGACATGTTTTCAGGCTTTTCCAAGTTGGGTAAAAAAGGATTATGAATCCAGGAGTTCACTTTAATTTTTGTATTGTGTTCTTCGGGAAAATACTTTTCAAAAGATGCGCGCATCGAACTGAGATATTGGACCAATTCTTCAAACACATTATCTTCAAACATTTCTGAGTCGTTTTCGCTAACAAACTCAGTGAGTAACGTAAAACTTTCTATTTCTTTCTTACCAATGCAAATGATCCAAAAATCTAATTTTCTTTTAAAAGTAGTTATTTTATTATAGGCCTGAAACACTGTTGTCTGTTTACCTTGCAATGATAAATTTAATTCGTTAAGTTTTTGAAAGATATCCGCCATAAAAGACAATCGGAACAACCAAGTTTTATCATACAAACGGTCCTTCAAATTAAAAGAAGTATCTGCTGAAAGAAACATTTGTAACTCGGCTCTAAGTTCAAATAGCCTTGTTAAAGTTTTTCCCCGAGACAGCCATCGCACTTCTGTATGGAGCAGCAGTGTTTTATGTTTGCTGCCATAATCTTCACACAATAATGAGAACAATCGGGATTGTAGTGGTCGTGATTTGATAAAATTAATTATTTTTACCGCTTCATCCATAACTAATTTTAGATTAGACGGCATTTGCTTCATCGCAAGTGCTTGTCTATGCAGAATACAATGACTGGAACTACAATTAGGCGCTTTATTTTTCATTCGTGACACTGCTCCTGCTGTTTTACCTGTCATCGCCTTGGCCCCATCTGTACAAATGTCAATGCAATTGTTCCAACTGAGATTATGTTCTTCAAAAAATATATTTATTTTATTAAAAATTTCTTCCCCGGTAGTGTTTGTAAGCAGCGATGAACACATAAGCATGTCTTCTTCAAAAGAACTTTTATATGGATATCTCACAATAACCAGCAGGATAGCCAAACCAGCGACATCAGTCGACTCGTCCATTTGCAAAGCGAATCGTGTATTTTGTAGAC